CTTTTGAGTCAGGGTTTCTCTGTACAGTCCTGGCTGTCCTGTCCTAAACTCATTTTGTAGACCAGGTTGGCCTCAAACTCACAGAGATCCACCTGCCTCTGCCTCCCAAGTGCTGGGATTAAAGGCCTGCATTACCACCGCCCAGCATGAGAGCTCACATCTTAATCCACTAGACAAAGCAGACCCCAGTAACAAACCTCCTCCAGTAAGGCCGCACTTTCCAGGAAAGCCGAACAGTTCCACCAGCATGGGACAAAGTGTTCAAACATATGAGACTATGGGAGCCATTCTCACTCAAATCATAGCTGTGGCTCTTGGCAAGGGCATATACTCCCAGTACTATAACTTCCACTACTAGACTGCTACCTTTGGAGAAGCCACAGCCCACATCACTTAATAAAAATCATAATAGTACCAGTGTCTAATATGCTAGGCTTTGTACTGTGTTACCAAATACCTAGTAGTTCTGTGGTCATGATTATTGTCTTCACCTTATGGATTGTATAGTATGTCACAGGTAGATGGCATGTGTACTTTACATGTATTTAATGTGTGTGTCCACCTGCACCCATGTGGAGATCAGAGGGCAACTTGGAGTTGGTTCTCCTTTCGTCATTGTCAGACCCACACAAGTGCCTTTACGCCCTGAGACATCTTGCTGACCCCAAACAGCAAGTATTTGAATACAGCGCTACTGTTCGAAATGTCTCAGCCCAGTGACTCCATCTCTACCCTTGGAAAGAAATGTTTATGAAGCCTAGGAAGTGAAGTCCTCATAAGGCAGGTTTGCTAAGAAGTCAGGGTGGCTCACAGGCATTTTGTGTTGTTTGGATTTGTTCAGATAGGTTCAGATATATATATATATATATCTGGTTGCCCTAGCACTCACTATAAAACAGACTGGCTTTGAACTAATTCTCCTGCCTCTGTCTCCCAAATGCTGGGATTTACACTGAACTTCAGTGTAGCTTCAGCTGCAAAAATTTATTGGGAAATACTATCTGCATGGTTCTAAGTTTGTTTTGGTTTTTTTTTTTTTTTTAAGGATTTATTTATTTTTTGTTTATACAGTATTCTGTCTGCATGTACACCTGCACATCAGAAGAGGGCACTAGATTTCATTATAGATGGTTGTGAGCAACCATGTGGTTGCTGGGAATTGAACTCAGGACCTCTAGAAGAGCAGCCAATGCTCTTAACCTCTGAGCCATCTCTCCAACCCCTGGCTCTAAGGTTTTTAAAAGATACCTTTTTTTTTTTTTTTTTTTTTTTTTAATTATTGGGTGAAGGGCATATCCTCTGGCCTCAAGAGGCCAGAAGCATTGGATCCCAATGGAGCTGGAGTCACTGGTCAGTGTGAGTGGCCCCACATGGCTGTCAGGGACTGAACTCAGGTCACTGCAAGAGTTGTATGTGCTCTTAACCACTGAGCCACCCCTCCATTCCTGCCCATAAGGTTTTTATAGGACTCTGTAGAGACTCAGCCACTCTCAGGTCCTAGCCCTGGAGTGCTTTGTTTGGTGTTCTCTCGCCTTCCTCCAGAATCACCATCACAGTCCGTAGGACGGCTTTCCCAGGAGCCATGGCATCAGGCCGATCTTCCCACATTAGAAGGTTGGCAGCTTCTTACACTTAAAATTCTAAAAAGGAGCTCGTTTCCCATGATGCCCACCAAGAATGTAGATGTATCCATTTAATAGTCATGAGCTGGAATGGTAGAAGTTCCCACTGTCCATCATGCATCTGCTGGCCTCTGGTCTCAGTACAGAAGTATGGGACAGCCTCATTCCACTGCACCATTCTAAGACCTTGATCTGGTAAAATTTTTGTCAGTATTTAGCCCCTTACATTACCTGTTTGTACAGGTCAGCTTTGCTGGTAACATGATAGTAAGGAACGTGGGCGCGGAGGTGGGGAGGTGGCTCAGTTGTCAGAAACCAGGCAACTCTGAGTTCCCAAGGCCTACACAGCCATCAGCTGGCCCCCTTAATCCACGAGGATCAAAAGTAGGCCCAGTGGTAGAACTGAGGGCGTTTGGTGTGCAAGCTACAAAACCAAAACATCTAGTGGCTTCCATGTTTTCAGTGTATGTGTTACCGAGTGGGTTGGGTACCACACAGTCTTCCTGCAGGAAATGCATCCCCAGGCACCTAGTCTGTCTTAGCAACAAGCTACTAAGTTTCTGGGAAGAAACTCCCCCTCCCCCACTTTCAGACTTCCTTTCTGCTCCAGAAGCCCAGTGCCTGGGTGGAGGACACACAGTGCCCGGGGCACTGGCCTTCCTGGGTACTTGGAGTGGAGCTGCATCACACTGCACTGCCAACTGGAGAGCAGCTTCCTGTGGATGCGCAGTTACTCCCACTCACCTTCGCCAGCTGCTGAGCACAGACCAGATTCAGGGATTTTCAATAGAAGGGGAGATGCTGATAGCAAGCTCCCACCTGTGTGGTTTAGCAGTTGCCATCGACTCATCAGGAAATAACCCTGACTTGCAAGGCGTGCCCTGATGCATTTGGCAATCACGACTCCCGCCCCAGCCTGTCTTTTTTTGTCATCCCTCTCCATGCTTAATGTGGGTAATCCCAGGCTTCCTGCACAGGTGAGTCACGCATCTAGTTGAAGTGCTGCTCCTGGTAGCTTGAGAGGTCCTGAGGACTGCTTCATGCGACAGTTGTCCGTTGGGACTAGGTCAGCTTGCCCATAGAGGACTGGCACCTCCAAAGTTTGTCACCTTAGATGTCATCTTTTCAGCACAGTGTTTTGTTTGAATTTTGTGGGTATGGTGTTTGTCTTATGTGTGTCTGTGTACCACATGCCAGAAAACAGTGTTAGATCCCCCTGAAAATGGAATTACAGATGGTTGTGAACCACCATGTAGGTGCTGGATGTGGGAATTAAACTTGGGACCTCTAACCACTGAGCCTCTCTCTAGCCTATAAGGTTTTATTATTATTATTACATTTTGGTTATTATTTGTATGTGCACATGGACTGTGGGCATTTGAAAAGCAGGACAACTTTTTAGGAGTCATTTGCTGTCTTCCACAGTGTGGGTCCTAAGGATTGAACTCAGCTCATCAGCTTTGGCAACAGGTACTTTAAGCCACAGAGCTATCTTGCCTGGTTTTTCTTTTGTCAGTGCTGGGGATTGAACTTTGCCTGTACACTCCTGAGAAATGCTGAAGTATATCCCCGGCCATTTTTTTATTAAAAAAAAAAAAAAAAGTTGTACTTATTTGGGGGCTGGAGAGATGGCTCAGCCATTAAGAGCACCTGATGCTCAGGCAGATGCTCAGTTGTGTCTTAGCACCTATGTTGTATCTCACAACCACCTGTAATTCTAGCTCCAGAGGCCACACACCTGGGTTCCTCTTCTGTTCTCTGAGGGACCCAGGCATGTATATGATGCACATACATGCATGCAGGCAAAACAGGTGAGTGGTGAAATGTCTCTGCCCTTCCCGAGGACCTGCATGTCAGTCAGCTCATAACTCCAGTTCCAGGGGATCTAGCCCTTCTGGCTGGCAAGGGCACCAGGCGTGCATGAGGTGCACAGACGAGACATCGTCCACACAGATAAAAATAAGTAAGATGAAGAAAGGAACGAACCACCATAGTTCACAATTAAAAATAGAAACTTAAAATAAATTTAGATGAAGTAAGGAGCTTCAAATACTTTATTTTTGAATAAAATATATTTTATTTTTTGTTTGTTTTTGGGTTTTCGAGACAGGGTTTCTCTGTGTAGCCTTGGCTGTCCTGGACTCACTTTGCAAACCAGGCGGGGCTCAAACTCAGGGATCCGCCTGCCTCTACCTTCCCGAGTGTTGGGATTACAGGCGTGTGCCTGGCTGACCCTTTCATTTTTAAGGATCCCGAGCTGCCAGTTTTGGTAAACCGAGTTTCCCGTTGCTCCTTCATGGTCCTGGCCGGGAGACTGTCAGCTAGGTTCCTTAGCATATTTGGCCCAGGGGAGTCGGTAAAGGGCACAGACAAAAGAAATTCAAGACTACTGAGTGTCACTGGCATTTACTGACCCTCCACTTACCAAGACAGTGCCAGGGCTAGCCCGTGGCCCTGTCGCGCCTTCCAGTTCTCGTTGTCAGGGGTGACAATGGCCATGTGGAGAGGAAGTGCTCCCATTAAGTCCCTCTAACAGTCACACCTCTCACTGTTGCCTCTGGAAAGGTGCTAGGAGCTCCGCACAGACAAGGGATGCTCAGGCGGTGCAGGCCTAACCCTAGGAACTCCTCTGAGGCGGCAGATTCAGGTCCTTCTCGCTGCCTGTGTCATCATCTATCCCGGTGTCCCGTAAGATGGGGACAGCACTTACTCTCCCTGGGCCTGATTGATTCCTGGATTTCTGTGGTGTGGGGCACGGGCAGTTTCTGATGCGTTCTCTGCGGAGTTCGGGTTTAATACAAGCACTTGCCTGGCTCGGATTGGTGAGTTATTTGGGCCACCTACAACGCTCCTCGCCTAACGGGATCAGAAGGGCCCGCCCTTTCGGCTCTGCTCGAACTGGCTGAATTCACTCACCATGTCCTCCTCTAAGTGGATTTCTGTGCGGCTCGAAGGGCAGGGTCACCGCTCTGCTGGACCTTAGCTGAGCAGCCCAAATCACACGGGAAGGGGATACGTGATACCAAGTCCTCTGCTATTTGCGTGTGAAGGGCTGGAACTGCGTGGTCGTGGGGCGACCTGGCCGACCTAGGCCCTGCAGTGGAGATGAGAACAGAAGCCGAGTGGCGAGGCTCTGAGCTCTGCCGGTCTGGACGGCTGCGCGGAGGAAGAGCGACTAGGAGGAGCCGGCCGGGGCCGCGGCATGGGCGGAGCCAGGGACCCTCGCAGCCTCTGATTGGGCGGCAAGGCCGAGCGGAGCGGCTCCGATTGGCTGATGAGGCGGGCAGCAGCAGCCAGGTGATGCCCGAGGGTCGAGTCCGGGGCCACGTGGGGGGCGCGCTGCGCGGAGGCGGGGGCGGGACGGTCGCGGCTCCGGGAGGTGCGGAGGCTGCGGGGACCAGAGCTGTGAGACCCGCCAAGAGGCGCGGCGGCGGCGGTGGCGGCGGCGGCATCGGCGGTGAGTGCGCGCGGGGACCCTCCAGGGTCTGGGCCAGGGCCGGGAGGGTCACTGTGAGAGCGAGCCGCACCCCCACCTCCGACCACCGGCAATTTCCATCCCCTCAGCCCTAGTCTCCATCCGTCCCCTCCCGGCGCCGGGGCACCTGAACAACCCCCCTTCCCCGCCCCCGAGAACCTAGCCCTGCGTGGGGAGGGTGGCGCTTGCGAGGTCGCTGCCAGCGCTTGCAAGCGCTCCGCACCTCCGCGCGCGATCGGTTCCTCGTCTTCCCCATCCAGCCTGTGTGCCCCGCGCGTCCAGATACATTCTCGAGAGGAACAGAGGCTGGTGAACAGCCCCGGGAGGTGGCCGTCTTCCTCGGTCCCCTCCACAGTTGAGGAACTGAAGGCTGGCAGGCCAGGGGCAGACCAGCCAAGCCTGCTGAACCCCAGTCCCGTCCCTGCTTGCGCGGGTCCAGGACCTGTAGGGGGTGGTATCAGGGCTGTGCTGGCTCCTGCGGCACCTATTCCTGCACAGACCCAGACCCAGTGTGTACCAAGGGTGGATGCCTGCTTGGGGGCCCCATAGAATGTAAGGACTCCCGTGACAGCAGATTCCTGAGCTTGCCAGCTCCCCCTCCTGTGGTGTGTGTCTTTGGTCAAGCAGTTGAGTAGTCAGTCTCCCGGTACCCTGAGTGGATGGATAGCTCAGCTACATGGTGCAGAGGCCCTGTGACTGAACGTTAAGTACAGAGTCAACCTGGCCAGGCCCCTGCTCCTAAGGAGAACCACCTGGAAAAAAGAAGCCGAGGACCATCCCAATGTTCTTTCTGTAGGAACGCCCTGGCCTGGCAGGCCCCTGTGGTTGGTCTGAGCCAGAATTAGACTGGAAAGAAGGCAGGAGAGGAACAAAGTTTCTGTTCCTGGGGAAGCTAACTATGAGGAGGGTGGGGAAGGGCCAGGTGCTGGGAGGATGCCGTCCCTGCTCTCTGTACTTCGATCCCCACCCCCTCACATACACCGGGATTAGGCAAGCTGGTCTCTGTGTGTGGAGAGTACGAGGTTTGCTGACCCTTGGCTCTTTCTCTCCACCTGATGCTTGCTGGGCTGTGTGCCACAGGCAGGGTGTGAAGGGCTCTTGTCAGCTCTTTTTGTCTCTTTCGCAGTTGCTTTTCTTCTCATCCTGTTCCATCCTCCACCCCCTTCCTTGAGGGTCTCATTGCCAGCTGTGTGTCTTGTGGTCTTTGCCTCCTTTCTCTCTTCTGCCCGCATTGGTAGATTAGAAAGTGAAAAAGCACTTCACTGCCTCCCTGAGAGCCCTGTCCCCCTTCTGGGAAGGGGTGGGCAGCACGTGGCAGCAGTGTGGTTTGCTTTAGGTGAAACATCAGGCGTGTGGTTGGGTTAGAGCAGGGCTAGAAAGCCCGGTCAGAACGCAGGTTGGCAGCAGCCCATTGGAGGGCTAGATGTGCTCTGAGGGGCTCTGCAGCCTGCTCGCCGTTCTTCCTGGCTCAAAGTTCTAGGTGCCTGGGGCCTCTGCTCCCTGGCTTGAGCCTGGGCTTTGAAGGGCATTGGCAAGCAGGAGTGCAGGGCCCTTTCTGGGTTCTAAGAGCATCACTTCTAAGGCACCCAAGCCCCTCCCTTTCCAAGCACTCCTGCTGCTGTGGCACACCCAGGCCACACCCTCTGCCTGTTCACTGTTCCTGCCCTAGTGCCTGCTATGCCTCCCCATGATCTTGAGTGCCTGCAGCCTGCTGCTTTGGCAGTGTACCTCAGGCCCTAGCTCACTTTTTGTGTGTGTGTGTGTGTGTGTGTGTGTGTGTGCCTCCCTTCCTGCTGCTGTCACCCCTGCTCTTCAATGGACTCCTCCCAGACTGACCTCTTTAACCTATGAGACTTTTTTTCCTCTTGAGTTGGGGATATTGTATTGTCCAGACTAGCCCTGAACTCCTGCCCTCCTGCCTTGGCTTCCTGAGAAGCTAGAACTACAGGCAAACACCAGTTCTTTCTGGACACTAAGAGCTAGTTCCAAATTTCTACCAGCTTCCCCCACCACAGAGGGCCCAGTCAGCTCTGAACCCCAGCTCTAGCTCAGTGGCCCATGCCATGAGCCATCCCACTTCTGACCTGCCCCCAAACCTTCCTAGCCATCACGAGCCCTGAGTCTAACCTGTTGCACCTCTCTGCTTTGCTACCATCTCACCTGTTTAAGGTTTATTTAGTTTCCCACCTTGTCCCCCAAGAATGTTGTTGCTCAGAAGCAGGCAGAATTTGTCTTTTGTCTCTGTCATGTGCCTGGGACATTGATGGGCACATAGCTAGGACTCTGGGTTTGTTCGTTGGCTGAATGAATGAATGAATGAATGAGCGAGCAAGCAAATGAACAAGCACACCAGCCCCTAACAAGGAGCCTTCAACCAACTGTCTGAAAACCAACCTCTCCCCTGCCCTTCGTAGCCTTCTCTCCGTGGAGCTTGAAGCTGGGCACGCTGGGGACCATGCAGAGGGCTGGGGCCGGGGCCCGCAGGGCCTCCGACTGCGGGCCTGCACCCTACCGGCCCAGGTGCATTGCCAAGTTTGCCCAGGTCGGTGGGTGCCCATCTTGTGTGCTCTAGAAGGTAGTTGCGGGGTGGCTGCCCCCTAGGGTTGGGGAGGACTTGGGGCCCGCAGATCTGACTCTGTCTCCTTTGAGTGGGTATGTGCACACAAATGTCCGTATAGGCGAGAAGAGGCCCCTGTGACCTGACCAGGTCGCCTGCTGAGAGCATTAGCAAAGAACACTGCCCCCCCCCCCCCCCCCAGGAGAGAGCCTAGTCACTGCCCACAGCCTGCCTGCAGGGTGGAGTTTTGCACTGTGGGCCTTACTCGCCTGTCTTCTCCCCATCACCACCAGTACGTGGGATCCTTTCCTGTGGACGACTTGGACACTCAGGAGAGCGTGAGCCTTGTCCAGCAGCAGCTGTGGGCACTGCAGGTGATGGGCTTGGGGAACACAGCCCGAGGGTGGGCACCGTCATATCAAGCTTGGATGGAACTCTGAGGGCACATGAGGCCCAGGGAGGGTGGGGCCAAAGGTCTTCCGGAGGTGACCCGGTGAGTTCCAGGCTTCAGGACACTTCCTAGATGCCTGGGGACTCATGCCTCACAGGTCATAGCACGACTGTTGGGGGGTCTGCCACCCGGGCCTTGGTCCCTAGGCAGGTGTGTCAGAACTGGCTAAGAAGCCTTGATGAGGAGTGTTGTGTCAGGACTGCAAAGGGCTCGGCCTGGGAAATGACATCTGCCTTTGCCAACTTTCTTCTCCTCAGGACTGTTCCCGACGCCGGGCTGTCATCCTGAAATTCAGTCTTCAGGGTCTCAAGATCTACAGTGGGGAGGGTGAGGTAGGAGGAGTAAAAAGGGCCCGGGGCAGCGAGGACGGTTTGCCCCATGGCCCCCTAGAATAAGCTCAGACAACAGTTTCTTACCTGGCTCTCCAAGATCTTCTGTAGAGGCCACCTCCTGTCCTAATCTAATGGGTTGGGGAACATTCATTGGCCAATGGCTGTGGACAGCCATGGGCTAGAGATGGTAGGGAGCTCTTGCATGCTTGCCTGTCCCTCCCTGGCTACGCACTGCACAACCGACATGGCTGCCCATTGACTGCCAGGCCCAATTGTGCAAGCCACAGCTGCAGGCTTCTGCAAGGCTCGGTGCTGTGTGCGGTAGTGCCCTGGGCACCTCCATCACCCTCCTGAGGCACTGCTAGTATCTGAGGTGACAGCAAGAGACACTCAGGGGACTGTTATCACGTGGAGAGTGAGTAGCAGAGCTGTATTTGAAGTCCCAGCATCCTACCCCAGAGATCAGGTGTATAGCCCCAGGGCCTGCTGCCACTGCCTCTGTGTGGTTGCAGCCAGAGATCACTGGGTGCAGTTCTGTCCCTCAGTTTCATAACTTGGGGCGGCTCTCCTGATGGACGTGTCTACAGCAGGCCCAGAGCCATGAGCACTAAGAGCTGGGGTTTGGCAGGCCTTGGGGAAGGAAAGAAGGGTCTTGTAACCACAGGAGGTGGATGGCCTATGCCAGACATGCAAGACCCAGGAGACTGCCACATAGGTGTCTGAGACTTGCTGTCACCACCATCCCTCACAGGTGCTCCTGATGGCCCATGCCCTGAAGCGCATCCTCTATGCCACCTGGTGCCCTGCTGCCTGTCAGTTTGCTTTTGTTGCCCGGAACCCGCGCAGCCCAGCCAGCAAGCTCTTCTGCCACCTGTTTGTGGGGAGCCAGCCTGGAGAGGTACCTGCGACGCCGAGCTTTATTGTCCTCAAGCTGTAGGCGTAAATCCATGCCTCACCACACTGGCTTTTGGCTCTTCTGTCCTAGGACTGTGTATAGCAAGTCGTCACCCTTGACATTCCCTAGGGCTGGGCACAAAACTAGCCAGGACTTTTTCTCTGCTGTGGAGTGCCTGCCCTCCCTCATCCTGGCTAGTTCCCATCACCCTTCAGAGCCCAGCCCAGCTGTGACTTGAACCAGCACTTGGCTGCCCCCATGACAGACTTTTGAGTCCTTTAACTGCAGAGGCTGGGTCCAGTCTTTGAGCTGTCTGTAGGTGGCCCTGTGTAGTAGATGCGGTAGGTTGGAATCAGATAAACAGTCAAGACTGTTGTGGTCACTGTGAATGACAGGTCTGGAGCAGGCAGCCATTTAGTGAGTTCCAGCATTTGTTCTCACCTCTGGATGTGGGTCCTGGGTGACAGGCAGCTCAGGCTGATGGTTCCAACATGCTGGGGGCTGGATTGTGTGAGCTCCATGGGCCTCAGTGCCCCATCTCATGAACGCCTCAGAGGATCATGGGGAGGTGAGGATAAGGGAAAAGCCGCACAGGGCTCCATGTTCTGCCCTGGGTCACCCAACAGCTCTTAGGTTTTCAGAGCCAGGGCCAAGGCTCTTGGCCACTCCAACTGCTGGTGATACAGACGAGCGATGGGAGGATGGTGAGTCTGGTGTAGGTGTGCGGTGGGCCCAGGGCTGTGCTCTCTGCTGTAAGCACGATGCCTGGCACACAGTAGCTTATTTGTGAAGCGACTAGAGAGAGCTGGTAGCAGAGGCTACATTTGCAAGTGGTGAGGGGTTTGAGGGCTAAGTAGGAGTTTTCCCAGGAAGTCTGTGGTGGGGGTGGAAGGGTCAGTACCTGAAGTTAAGGGGACATTTGCAGCTCTGGAGTGTGGGCTGGTACGTGAGGCGCTTCCCAGGAGACTGCTGCAAGCTGAGCCCACCCCTCCTGTCCTAGGTCCATATCCTGCACCTGCTGCTCTGCCGCTCCTTCCAGCTTGCTTACCTCTCGCAGCACCCTGAGGAGAGGGCACAGCCTGAGCCTGTGGGGGACATGTCCCCGAAGCCACTGTGTAGCCCTGGGGCACCCCCTGCCCTGGTGCGGGAGCCCTTCAGCCGGGACCAGCTGTCACAGAACGTCCATGCCCTGGTCTCCTTCCGACGGCTTCCTGCCGAAGGGCTACTGGGCAGTGGTGGGGTATGCAGCGCCCCCGTCAGGAAGTGGGTAGGGGAAAGGATCAAGGGCGCGGGGTTATATTGGAGGGATGGACTTCTCACCGGGTTCACATAGCCTCGAATGGATCTGAATCTGTCTGCCTGTGGGCCCCTCTTGGTGTCCTAGAAGGAACTGCCAGAGCCAGAGGGCCGAGGGGGCACCCGTCACACCCGCCTGGGGAACCCCTACTGCTCGCCCACACTGGTCCGCAAGAAGGCCATTCGCAGCAAGGTGATCCGCTCTGGGGCCTACCGAGGCTGCACCTACGAGACCCAGCTGCAGCTCTCAGCCCGGGAGGCCTGTGAGTTGGAAGAGGAGGCTGTCTGGCTAGTGGACTTGGTGGGCGCGGGAGCGGGTGTTCATGCATGGTTTTTTTTGAGGCTGTGGCCTCATGCCCTTGGACCCGCCCTTCTCCTATGGCTGCCTGTGTGCATGTGAGGGTACATCAGGCTTGTGGGCTTGTGCAGGCAACTAGGCAGTTGTGTATGGACTTTAACTGGTGAGTGCAGAGTTTCTGCTGAGGGACCAGCTGTGTAGCTGTTGGGTTAGGGAAGAGGCTTGGTGGGGAGACAAACCACAGGGTAGGATGTGTGGTAGGGAGGGGCAGATTGGGCCTGGGGAGGTTCTGCCATGCTTCCTCTGACCTTCCTGTCTCCACAGTTCCTGCTGCATGGGAGGCATGGTCCCGAGGCCCTGGTGGCCCCTCGTGCCTGGTGGAAAATGAGGGTAGCCTGACAGAGAACATCTGGGCCTTTGCTGGCCTCTCCAGGTAAGGGAGTTCTAGCCCAAAGTCCAAGCCCTTGGACTTTGTGAGGTAGGCTCCTTGTCACCTGTACACAGGGTAGGTAGGCAGGGTGTATGGAGTGTGGGTTGCTCCCTGCCTAGATGACCTCAGGTCATGGACTTCTCTTCCTGAATCTCAATTTTCCAGAATGCAAAAAGGGGCTAGAGAGAGGAGCCTGGGAGGAGACACAGGTGAAACCCTCAGGATCTGGCCTGTCACTGCCTGCCTTCCCAAGGTTCCTTGGACCGCTCCTGACCAGGGCCTTGAAGTCAGCAGGTCAGGTCTTCAGAGGCCTTGAGTTCCATGGCTAATGTTCACTGAGTAGCCACTCTGAGGGCATATGTCCAGTCCTCTGCCACCACTGCCAAGCTCCTCAGGCTAATATCTCCCTGACCAGGATGACAATGTGAGTCTAGGGTCAGACTGGTGTCCTTAACCTTGGCTCCCTCCCCCTAGGTCCTGTGCTCTAGCCCTTCTTCGGAGGGATGTGCATGGGGCCTTCCTGCTGTGGCCGGAGCCAGGTGCCAGTGGCCAGTGGAACCTGTCTGTGCGGACTCAGTGTGGCGTGGTGCCTCATCAGGTCTTCAGGAACCACCTGGGCCGGTACTGCCTAGAGGTGAGACTGTGGGGTTACCCTATGGGGCTTCCAGCATTGCCCTGCTGCTGCCTCCATCTCTTGAAATTCTTGCTCTGCCCTTTAACTGTCTTTGAGCTCCTGAGCTCACCTCACTTTCATCCTGTCCCCCAACTTGGTGTTCTCTAGCCCCACTCCTTATCTTAGTCCCTCTTCTGTCTCCTTAGCCTTGCTAGTCCTGCTTCTGTTTTTTTTTGTTTGTTTGTTTTTGGGGGGGTTGTCACTGTTGTTTTGTTAGGTTTTTTTTTGAGACATGGTTTCTCTGTGTAGACCAGGGTGGTCTGAAACTCAGAGATCTGCCTGCCTCTGCCTCCGGAGTGCTGAGAGTAAAGGCAAACACCACCACACCAGCCTTTACTTCTGTTCTTGCTGGCCACCAAGGTTCTCTGTCTAGCAGTGTCTTTCAGAGGTTTCCTCTAGGAGAGCTGACCCAAACCCACACACGCAGCCTCTGAGTCACTGGTTGCCAGGACTGGGCTGGCAAGGCTTTTACACAGCATCTGTACTTCCAAGCCAACTGCCTCAGGCCTGCCCAGGCTGGGAAGAGCGAGGACACGGTTACTGTTCCATGGTTACTGCACATTCTGAATTTATCCCCCTGCTTTCCAAATGGCAGGCACATGATGGGAGACCAGAGTGGGGGTGGGGTGCTGGTACACGGTAGATGCATGAACTATGGGGCAGAGGCCCAGAGCTAAGGACCACCTTCTCCCCAGCACATACCAGCAGAATTCCCCAGCCTGGAGGCCCTGGTGGAGAGCCACGCAGGGATGGAGCGCAGTCTCTTCTGCCCACTCAGCATGGGCCGTCTCAACCCCACCTACGAAGAACAGGACTGTGGCCCTGAGGGCAGGCTTCCACGGACTCTGCGGCCCCTCAGCCATGCCAAGTCCGAGGCAGAACTGCAAGGCCTAGGCTAGGACGCAAGCCCTCAGTCCCCTGTGGGCCCAGCCTTGCCTTGGCCCCTGATCTGCAGCAGTCACTCTGCCCTTCTTGCACCCCATTCCCTGGCCGCCAGCTTCAAACAGGTCATTCTGCCCCTCAATCGGTCTTCCATCACTTCACTGTCCATGGGAGAGGAGCCTGAGGTTGGAGTTGGAGATACCAGGATCTCTCCCAGGACCTGGGGGCAGCTGAGACACCAGCATCAGCAGGTATAGCCAGGGATCTGGTAATGCTCGGTGACTTTGGGTATTGACCATTGCCAGGTTTCCACTGTCCTTGTGCAGAGGCTTTCCCAACAGTTTGTGGATGTGGGTGCAGCCCTTGCTGGGGGAGACTAAGCCTCTGCTGCATGGGACCCCAGAAGCTCCCCATAGCAGCCAGATGCTTAGAGAGTTGCAGAGTTGACACTCTGAGTTCATTTCCTGGAGTCATTCTGACTGGGGCCAGCAATGAACAAATCGCAGTCTTTTGGAAGCCACCTCATGCTGGTGTTTCCTGAGCACTAATGTAAGCCCCACAGAGGGTGTGGCCTTAGCAACAGGAGGTCCAGGGACACATTCTAGAGGAAGTGGCCCAAGCAGCAAATGACAAATCCAAGTGTTCCTTACATCAACTCTGTAGAATATATAAGTCTACCCAAAAGAACAGACTTCTTAGTCAGGTGGTGGCGGCGCATTCCTTTAATCTCAGCACTCAGAAAGAAGAGGCAGACAAATCTCTATGAGTTTGAGTGCAGCCCGGTCTATAGAGCAAGATCCAGGACAGCCAGGGCTTCAGAGAGAAACCCTTTAAAAAATATATTTCTTTGGAAGCAGAGGTGTAGGCATCAGTGAGAAGATGTCTTGTTTGGTGCCTTGGATGCCACAGGTTTCAGTGGAAGCCTCAGGTTCTGGGTTTTGGATCCCTTGTGACAGGGGCAGCTTCTGCAGAACAGAGAGGAGACAAACCTGAGAAAATAAAATGGCAGGCCAGGCCTGGTACTTTCAGCCGGAGTACATCACCCAAATCCCCCAAACTAGGATGAGCCCATAGCTCAGGACCCTGCCATTTCTTCCAAGTCTTGTGAGGGGTGGAGAGAAAGCTGTCTGTGAGGCCCTTTCACAGGAGACACCACCACCTCGACTGTGGGTGGTGTCCCTTCCATGGTCATGCCTACCAGCATGTCCACTCAGTGAGTAGGGCCTGGGCCCCACGGGAGAAGAAGAATTAGCATATCCTGTGCCTAACCCCAGAGAGTTACACCTAAGGAAACCTGGTAACTGGCCCAGACTTTAGGCCAGGGCTCACCTACAAGAGGCTGTGTTCACAGTATGAATTGCCAATGTGTACAATACCAGGGGATATTCAACCTGTCCATGGGTCCAGCCTTCCCCACGCCCTTTAACATTTCTTCCAAAGCATTTATTGATCGCATGATACAAACGGAACAGCCTGGAACCCACGTGTTCAGACTATCAGATCACAGTTCTGTCTTTGTAAACCATCACCACAGCTCTCCTGTGTGGACTTTGAGACAAATAAAACACGTTTCTTTACAGTCTGTTGTAGAAGTTCCTTGAGTAGCTAGATCTTCATCAGTGTTTTCCTGTTTTGGCCTGTTTGGCAAACATACTACAGCAAGTATGAAATGGTGGGCCTGCCTGTGGTCCTGGCCACCAGGGCCCAGGAAGTTCTGAAGGGATTGTGTGGTTGATGCTCTGAGAGGTCTTCTAAGAAAAATATTGGAGGGCCGGAGAGATGGCTCAGTGCATTTTGTCAAACCCACTGACCTGAGTTTGATCCCCTGCTCCCGGAGAAGGAGAGAGCAATTCGTTGCAAGTTGTCCTGTGACCTCTACAGTCAGTGTACCTTGCTTCCATGCAAGTGCGTGCACACGGGAGCACACACGCGGATAATTTTTTAAAATCCAGACTGTGAAAACTCGGGCTTGCATACTGCCTCAGCAAAGTGCAGGAGGCCCTTTGCACAGCCCAGGTCTGCCTAAACCTAAGCCTCAGATCCAGGAAATTCGTCCTGACTTCCTATAACTGACAGGATCCTTTTAAAGATGAGCCACAGAAATGGTTCATTTGTATTCACTCCTTGGTGTGTGCGTCAATGTTAGTTTCCCCTGCTAGAACTAAGAAGCTGTCTTCCCAGCGCCTGTCAAATGACTGGTGGTGTTTCTCTGCAGAGGGACTCATGGGAGCATTGCAACGGGGTGGTTAGTGGCGTTAGACAGGACCAGGAGGTTAGGCTGTGTGTCCTTGCCAACAGGAAGACTGACCTCTAAAGTTTTGTCTTTTAAAAATGTTTTTAAAAAATACTTTTATTCATTTCTGTGTGGGCCCGCTTGCAAGGGTCCTTTCCACCATGTGGGTTCCGGGGTAGAACTCATACAGGCGGTCAGGCTTGGCAGCAAGCATCTTTCACTATCTGAGCCATCTTGCTGGTCCAGCTTTCTCGTCTTCTAAAATCTGGAGTCTTAAGACTAGCCCTGTTATCAGGAGGCTTCGCCCTGTCAGTGCGCTGTGGATAGGGGACAGCGAAGTCCTTGTCACCCTCTCAGTCTCTAACCCCTGAGAGAGATGGAGTCAAGCTCTTAGCCTCTGCTCGGCTGCTGAACCTCTCTGACCTGGAGCTGCAAGGCCTGCGGGAACAGGGTCGTCCCTACCACCCGGCATCCCAGGCGGCCAGCCTGCAGACAGGCTTTCCTTTGCACTCAGCGTTCTGCGGCCTGCCCTGTGATGTCACGAACGTTGCTCGGCAACGGCGAACGCCGAGACAGGGTGCAAGAGCGCGAGCGTGGCCTTGCCAGCTCCGGGGCTCGGGTCGTGCAGCGGCGCCTGCAGCGCGGATCCCCCGTTCCCCGCCCGGGCCCGGCCTCAGGGACGGGCGAGCCCGGGCGCGGGAGGCGGCGGCCCGGGCTCCAGCCCGGAGACTTGTCTGCCGAACCCCTGCTGCTCCCAGCTAGCCACGCGCGGAGCCTCGGCCCCCTGCTGCAGCCCCGCCCCTGCCGCCAGGCCCCGCCCTACGAGGGCTCTGGCTCCACCCCCTGGTCCGGGCCACGCCCCCGGGGCGCTCGGGGCGCCATGGCCTCGGAGTCGGTGAAGGTAGTGGTGCGCTGCCGACCCATGAACCAGCGGGAGCGCGAGCTGAGCTGCCAGTCAGTGGTGACGGTGGACTCCGCACGCGGCCAGTGCTTCATCCAGAACCCGGGAGCGGCCGACGAGCCCCCGAAGCAGTTCACCTTCGATGGCGCCTACTACATGGACCACTTCACCGAGCAGATCTACAATGAGATCGCCTACCCGCTGGTGGAGGTGAGGGCGCCCCGAGACTGCAGGGCCAGGCTCGGGGCTCCCCGAAGGTGGAGACAGGATAGGTGGGTTAGCTCAGCCCCTGCCGCCCAAGCCAAGCGAGAAGGCTCCGGGCACAGGTGGATAGCAGCAGGTTAGTCTGAAGGCTTGTGCTGGCTGTAGACACCGGGACCTGCTTCCAGTGTGGCGTTCACTTCTCCATTGAACGCTGCTCCACACCCCCGTCCTTTGCAGCATTTACCACAGAACTCCAGACCCAAGACCGCTCAGCGCCCCAGCTTGCCCAGACCCTCATCTCTTGCAGCCCCCTTGTCCTCCGCCTTCATTCCAGACCTGCAGGATGCTAAAAGCTCCAGCCTTTCCCTCAGCCTCCTCCCCTCCCAAGAGTCCTAGGAAACTTCTCTCCTCTGTCAGGTGGTGGTCCACACTTGCTCCCATTTCAGCCCCATCAGCAAAATCCCCCTGACCTCACTCTCCTGAGAGTAGTGGAGGAGACACCTGTCTTTCTAGAGAGGGAACAGTGTGGGCCTTCCATGTGCTCCCTCTGTCACTTTGAACGTGCTCTGTCTGGCATCTGAGGTTCAGAGATGCCCTGCTGCAAAGAAACCCATTTGGCTTCTTTGACCTAGCATCCCCAAAACATCTAACATGGATGCCTTCCGTTGACTGGCAGGCCCTTTCAGCTGTTGCCTCTGTTGAGAGGGTTGATGTGCTCTGAAGCCTGCAGCCTGCCTGGCAGTGAGCCAGGAGTATGTGCCTTGTTAGATTCTAGGGTCAAGTGTGCACCTCTGCTCTGCTGACCTCTGACCCTACTCCCAAGGTTTTCTGATTGATGGTGTAGACCACAAAGCACATGGCAAGAGGTGGTTCGCTTTGAACACTTAGAGGTCAAGGGACAGCTCCCCCAGGGGGCAGCCCCAGGCTCTGAGGGTAGCTGGCCTGGTTTTCTAGGCTAGAAGGGATGGATCTGAGAGGTCATAATTCAGTCCATCATATTTTACTGGGGGTTTGAACCTTCATCAAATAAAGGACCAGCTCTTGCTTGCACATCATGCTTCCAAGCAGCCTGTTCCACCTTCGTTTCTTGGTCTCCAGAGTGTTCTACCCACTCAGAGGCCTCCTGGGAGCGCTCATCCCACCTCCATCCCAGGAAACTTGCCTCCCTCTATTTAGATTTGCACCTTGAAGATTTGAACTTGTGTTCTTCCTTGGCCTTGTTTGTTTGTTTTCCTATGACTGTCAGCGCTGCTCAGAGGCCTCAGTTCCTGTTCCTCTTGTTGTTATGGATTGTGCAGGGTCTAGGCAGGTCCCACCCAGAGAGGGAGACAGTAAGGTCACAATGACAGGCCTATTGGATCTCTCTCCCAACTTTCTCTTCTGGTGACCTATCAGTACAGACCTATCTCTGGACACTTCCCAGACCTCAGATTTGACATCCTGTTCATTCGTTAATCTGTTCACCCATCCATGAAATGGAACATTAGCAGCCCCACTGTGAGCCCCAGGTGGAGCCCAGGGAGGCTGTGTGAAGGAGATAAACTTACCCTCATCAAGCTCAGGGTCAGAGTTCAGCTAAGCTAACTGTTAGCAATCAGTGGCAAGTGGGAGGGCAGCACAGGGAGGCCCGCAAACCTTGGAAGGGACAGAGGGGAGAACAGAGAGGGGAAGTCTAAGATGAACCGCCAAGGAGGCCAGGCAGGAGGGTGAAGGCTGTTGGGCAGAGGCAGGCATATAGCAATTGACCTTCACCAGGAGAACTGGATTCATCTTCTCAGAGAAATGACTGAGGCCGGAGGAGTCGTGGAACCAATCAGGGACTCCTGTTGTTCCCTGTGTCCAGTCTCCATGCTCCGCTTCCCATTTGAGGACAGCGTGGAAAGCAGATCATAGCCCTGGCTGCTCCAGCCAGAAGCAGTGCACTGTCAGGTGGCTGTGTGAACCCCAGGCCTGCTCACCCGCCCCCGCTCACCCACCCCACCCCACCCCCCCCCCCCCCGCCCTCCCCCGCCCCCGCTCCCCCGCCCCCCCCCCCTCACCCGCCCCCCGCTCACCCACCCCCGCTCACCCGCTCCCTTCAGGGCTTTCTGGCAGGTAGTGTGAGCTTCTGCCCAGGATTCTCCCTTCAGATCCTACCCAAGCTGGCCCTGCACTTCAGATGCCTCTTTCTGCCGCTTCCCTTTCCTCCTCCATCAGTCCAGGCTCTGACCTCATCTCTTGTCCCCGACTGAGCTTTTCAACTCTCCTGGGGCTTCCTTCTCCACACCCACCCCCTCCTCCCACCTGGTCCAGCTGCCCACTACCCCACCCCACTCCACCCCTTTAACCAGCAGCCCTGCCATCCTATCTCCTGCCCCTGACAAGAGTTCTCCAGTTGCCTCCTGACTGACTTCCAGGCTACCCCAGGACTACATGCCCACAGCTTCCATCATGTCCAGGCTGAGGAGGGTGGCCCGGTGCCTTGTGCAGGAGCAGCCATACGTAGAATGTTCACCCATGGGAACATCTGGGAGGGCGCCTTCAGGAGACATGCTGAAATCTGGGGCAGGCGTTTTCATTTCAGTTGAGAGAAGGAAGTATGTGTCGTGTCTAATGCGCTGATGACACTGGCTTAGAGCCCACTGCTCAGCTGGGACTGCAGCTCAGGTATGGAGCCCTTGCCCAGCGTGGAGTGATGAGGTTTGATCTTGGTAATGGCCAGGGTGGGGAGTGTCGTTCTCCATTCAGCAGGAGCCTGGATCTCTGCTAGGGTCCTAGAGTTCGGCTTGCAGATGGAGAACAGGGGTTCCATTTCTCTCTGAGGCAGCTTAGGGTGAGGCCCGAGTGTGCTAAGCCGGAGTGTAGAAAGGTTTTCCACAGTGTTACAGTTTGGCAATTTTACCGTGAGGTCACTGGTGGCACTGGAGGCCCAGGTGGTCCAAAGCTTATGGCGATACCAAAGTGTTAGAGCTCTTGGTCACGCTGCTGTGCTGAAGAGGTGCTGGCCAAGGCCAATCCCTGGTCAGCTTGCAGCCAAGAGGCAGCCCAGCGAGGCCCAGGCCCAGTGAGACACGACCCAGGGAGGGTGAATGTATTTGATTTGCTGGGGTTAGAGGGTCAGGGATACCTAATTGTCCTATCACAAGAAAGGAAATTAATTATCCTATTTGGGGGGAATCTCCAAATACAATTGAAGGTCACTGCTCCCTTGTAGGAATCAGTACAGGAATTCCTAGATGCTTTCTAGAGCAGTTTTCTTATCCCAGAAGGGTCTGGCCTATAATCTGCCCTGAGGGCTATGTGATGCTCCTTACAAGACCTGGGGTCACCCAGATCAGGGGAGACTTTTAAAACCCCACTGAGAAAAGGGAGTCTATCATAACAGACTGAGTGTAAATAATTGGCTTCAATCATATCCAGCCCCACCATGGGGGATAACCAACAGTCGGTTTCATGAAAAAAAAAAAAGTTTCATAATTCAATAAGATAGAATGGGGTGGCAAATACACAGTGACCAGAGGTAGTGGGCATTGGGGACCTGTTTCATATGGGTATCAGTTACTGTGAGACTTTAAAATCTTCGTTTCATCTTAGAAATATGCCTCTCTCTCTCTCTCTCTCTCTCTCTCTCTCTTTCTTTCTTTCCTTCCCGAGGCAGGGTTTCTCTATGTAGCCTTGGCTCTCCTGTACTCACTCTGTAGACCAGGCTGGCCTCGAACTCACAGAGATCCGCTTGCCTCTGCCTCCCTGAGTGCTGGGATTACAGGTCCTAAAGTTGTTTTCTTTTTAACTCCAGGGCAGTGCTGTCCTATAGAACATTCCAGAACAGTGGAAATGCTCTGTCTGCACTCACCAGTTAGGTACCCATTAGACATAGGTGACTAGTGGCACAGGAAAGGGACTGGTACCACTGAGTGCCGCCGAGGAGCGTATTGATTACTCTTGCATCACGATAACCCAAATACATGACAGAAGCGGGGCGGGGGAGGTTTACTGTGGCGCACTGTTTCAGGGCTCTCAGTCCAGCAGCATGAGGAGCCATGGTGGTTGGTATCAGCAGAGCAAACATGGTGATAGCAGCTGGCAAACGATGAGCCAGAGCTAGGGAGTGGGTCTAAGCTTCAAGGGCCTGTCCCTAGTTACCGACTTCTGCCAGCTTAGCTCCTGAAGATTCTGCAGCACCCCCCAACAGTCTCACCCCAAACAGTGTCACCTGCCAGGAAAGAAACACTCAAGGCATGACCTGTAGGGGACACTTCAGATTCAAACCAGAATCTTTTTGTTTGTTGTTTTTTGAGACAGGGTTTCTCTGTGTAGGCCTGGCTGTCCTGGAACTCATTCTGTAGATCAGGCTGACCTTGAACTCAGGGATCCACCTGCCTCTGCCTCCTGGGTGCTGAGATTAAAGGCAGGCACCACCACGCCTGGCTATACTAATTTTTAATTAAGCTAAATAAAATAAATTTAAAAATAAATAAAGCTGTTTTCTATTGGAGACTTGAGGCACATGCATTTTTAGCTCCCCAGTGGTGGCCTTTTAAAAACTAAAAGAAATGAAATAAAACTAATTATAACACAGTCAATGCAGTGAACCTATATAAAAGGAAACAGTATCACAGAGACTATACCTAACAACTCCTAGTTGCTACTTTATGTTATTAATTATATTAAGATTTTGAAGTCTTTAGCTCGGTCAGTGGTGGCACAGGTCTTTAGTCCTTGCACTTGGGAGGCAGAGGCAGGAGGATCTCTGAGTTGGAGGCCAGCCTGATCTACACAGGGAGTTCTAGGACAGCCAGGGCTACAAAGAGAAACTTTGTCTCAAAAAACAAACAAACAAACAAACAAGCAAACAAATCAAAGAAAGAAAGCCATTAGAGGCCAGTCTGAAAGCAGAACAGGTTCCTGACATAGAAAACAACAGCCAGCACCTGCAGGGCGACTAAATGCATCCAGGAGTGAGTGGCCTTAGAAGTGGAACCCAGCGTGGCTGCCTTCCTTCTCAGCCTCCTCATCCATGCCCCACTCCCAGATCCCCCTGCCGCTGTCAGCCACTCTCCTGTGTCCCTCTGGCCTGGACCCACCTCCTTCTCCTCATCAGCAGCTCCACCTCTACCCTGTGCCTGCTTCCTCCCACACCTTCCTGCTTCCTTCCTTCCTTTCACTCCCTCCCTTCACCGTTCCCCAACTTCTGCCCTGTGTCTGTGCCTCACTGCCCCGCCCCCCCTCACCCTCCAGTTCCCGGCAGACATCAGTGAGCACCTGCCCATGCCTGCACTTGTCCTGCCTAATGCACAAGATGATTCAGCCTTAGGAGGGGCTGCGTTCTTATCCCTTATGACAGACGAGACTGAGGCTCCGTGTGTCTTAGAGTTCCTATTGCTATGATGAAAACACCGTAACTACGAAGGGTTGAGGAGGAAAGGATTTAGTTAGCTTACCTTCCAGGTCATACTCCATCAAGGAGGAGGTCAGGACAGGGACTCAAGCAGGGCTGGAACCCGGAGGCAGGAGCTGATGCAGAGGCCACTCGGAGGGGTGCTGCGTGCTGGCGTGCTTCCTCTGGCTTGTTCAGACTGCTTTCTTACAGAACTCAGGACCGCCAGCCCAGGGATGGGACCACCCACAATGGGCCCTCCCCTGTCCAGTCACTAAGTGAGAAGATGCCTTACAGCTGGATCTCATGGAGGCATTTCCTCAACTGAGGCTCCTTTCCCTCTGACCACTCTAGCTTATGTTAAGTAGCATAACAAAGCAGCCACTACGCTGTGTGCCAAAGACCAGTCCAAGTGCGTGTGGTAAAGAGAAGAGACAGGCTGAGAGTGTGGCTCAGTGGTAGAGCCTTTGCATAGCATGTATAAGACCTTGGGTCCTGTCTTCAGCAGTACTCGAAGAAACAAAACGAGCAGGGAGCTATAATTTGAACAGAGTTGGCTTCCTAGCACAGGCTCTTAGATAGCACCCCCCCTTTTGGCAGAGAGGTGCCTTGTTTAGGCGGAGGCCCAGGCAGGGGACCCGAGTCTGTGGGCTGGGGGCCGTGGTGCCTACCTGGACCCGCCAGCCGAACAGTTGGCTTTGGTTTCCTCTCACGCAGGGTGTCACTGAGGGCTACAATGGTACCATTTTTGCATATGGCCAGACAGGCAGCGGGAAGTCCTTCACCATGCAGGGCCTGCCGGATCCCCCCTGCCAGAGAGGCATCATTCCCAGAGCCTTCGAGCACGTATTTGAGAGTGTTCAGGTATGGGCTTCTTCACATGGGAAGGGGTAAAGCTGGTATCACCGATGGTCCCCAGGGCACCTATGACTGAGGCATGGACCTTAGTGACTGTCAGAACCTGCTCTTGACTCTACATGGCTCAGCAGAGGCAGGCCCTGGGACCTAAGAAGATGATGGGTGAAAAATGTAAAACAGAGAAGAGGCTAGCTGTTGGCTCCATGTTTTTCTCCTTCTGTCTTTGAATGTTAAAATTCATTCAACATTTCATGTGGTTGAAATGACGCTGAACATGCTGACCGGAAGTAGTTATAAAAGTCACGGCTCCCCCATGTATTGAGCGCTTCCTGAACACTAAGCCTCGAGGGAAGCCTTTTATATATTTAGCTCATAGACCCAAGACTGGACAACTCCCAATTGTGATGGCCCCAACAGCTCCTGTCCATCAGCCCAAAGCCAGGGCCTGGTCCAGGGAGCGGTTGCTGGCACTCAACTGTGGTTTCTCCCTTGAGTCATGGGGAAGTGTCCATCTCCCTTCCCATGAGTTTGTAGGTAGCACATTGAACAGATAGCCATAACACAGCCTGGAGGCCTGAGAGTCCTGGAGCTGGAGAGGAAGGTTTGCCGGCAGCACAGGGTGGGGGTGAGGGCCCCTGTGGCCTGACATCCTCCCTTTTCCTGTGATGTCCCATCTGTAGAGGCCTGGGCAACAGGTGGGTTTGGCATCAGACACCCTTCTCGAGCTCTGTCTACTTCCTGCAGTGCGCAGAAAACACCAAGTTCCTAGTCCGGGCTTCCTATCTAGAGATCTACAATGAAGATGTTCGTGACCTGCTGGGCGCCGACACCAAGCAGAAGCTGGAGGTGGGTGCAGGCCCCGTGCCGGGAGGCCAGGAAGGTCAGGGGGAGATGCTAGGATCAGACAGTTCTGGGGCTCGGGATCCTGCTGCCTCAGCTTCCCTGGCACTGGGACCGTGGACATACATCACTGTGTCCGGTCAGAGTGGGGTCTGTTGAACTTGAGTGTCCTCAGAGGACATACTGCGAGGGGCTGTTACTGACCTGCTGCCGCCACACAGGCTGGGCCTCACGATGGGCAAGGCCACCTCTGTTGAAACAGGGTGGAGCCTTGCAATACATTTCTATTTTAGAAAGCACTTTCACTGATTTAAAAAAAAATGATTATGATGGCTGGACACACACCTTTAATCCCAGCACTTGGGAGGCAGAGGCAGGCTGATCTCTTGAGTCTGAGGCTAGCCTGGTCTATGTAGTGAGTTCCAGGAGAGCCAGGACTATGCAGAGAAACTCTGTCTCAAAACAAAACCAAAACCAAAATAATTATTATGCTCTAAAAGAAGGTATTACGCACTCGGTCTTTATTGGCCCTTCAGGCACGTTACCCCATCTTATCTTTGGAGTAACCTTGTTGGTGAATGTTGTCATCTGTAAGTTACCAAGGTGGAAAGCAGGCTGAGAAAGCCTCAACTTACCCCAGTTCTGTAATGCAGCAAGTGGCTGGGTCTGGATTTGAACCCAGGTCTCCCTGACTCAAGCTTCCAAACCTCAAACATCATATAATAATGATGTTTATATGATTAGGACTCCATCATCTTGGTCTACTTTGAAAAGGGGTATTACAGCCGGGCAGTGGTGGCACGCCCCTTTAATCCTAGCACTGGGGGAGGCAGAGGCAGGTGTACCTGTGTGAGTTCAAGGCCAGTCTGGTCTACAGAGCCAGGTTCTAGGGACAGCTAGGGCCACACAGAGAAACTATCTCAAAAACCTCAAAATAGGGTTAAGAGTACTGTCTGTTCTTCCAGACGTCCTGTGTTCAATTCCCAGCAACCACAGGGTGGCTCACAATTAGCTATTCTGATGCCCTCTTCTGGCGTGTGGTGTACATGCAGATAGAGCACTCAGATACATAAAACAGATCTTTTTTTTTTTTTTTTTACTCAAAACAAAGAAAAAAAAAAAAAAATCAAAAAAAGCAAAAAAAAAAAAAAAAAAAAAAAAACCAAACCCGAAAAGGGCTATTGCAGATTGAAGGGGCAAGCCCCTTGAGAGAGTACCGGGACCTGTGTTCAGTATGAGAGCTGTTTTAAACTGTTGGGGATTAGAGAAAACCCAGCAAAGATGTGGGGTGCCAAGTGGAGCTTCTGGAGGGTAGAGTCCAGAACATGCTGGTGAAGATTGGGTTTGGCTTCATCAGAGCCTCAAGCACATTTCATAACTTGCCTTCAGTCCCCTCAAAGACTGGGTTCAGGATGGGAGAGCGTTGCTTCCTAACAGTGGAAGCAAAGCCACATACTTGAGGGTCCTGTTTGAGTAGGCAGAATTAGCATGACCCAGAGAGATCACAAAACATGCCAGACTGGGTTTAATGGCACAGCCTATAATCCCAGCAGTGGAGAGACTGAATCAGGGGGATTGCAAGTTCCAGGCCAACCTGGACTACATAGGAAGACTGTCAAAAAGAAAAAGGAAAGAAGGAAAAAAGGAAGGAAGAAGGAAGGAAGGAAGGAAGGGAGGGAGGGAGGAAGGGAGGAAGGACACCTAGAGAAAGATAGAGGGAGAGAAGAGAAGGAGAGAGAGAGAGAGAGAGAGAGAGAGAGAGAGAGAGAGGGAGGGAGGGAGGGAGGGAGGGAGACTGACCAAATACTGCCAGAAGCTAGTGAGAAGGCATGGAATCCCATCTGGGACCCTTTGGCCTTAGCCTTGGCCAGAGGTTCTGGTCTTGCTCCTTCCTGGGGCTCTTACAAGCTGGCGGCCTGGTCCAGGGAGGAGAGGCCAGTGTGAGATGCTTTCACCTGCTCTGGGTACCTCTAGATTCTCCCTCCACCCATGCTGCTTCTGATCTAACCAAGCCTCCCCACCAGAGTCCACCAGGGAGCCATGATCCCAATGTTAAGAGATGAAGGGACAGTCACCCATTGATTGTTTTCAGCAAAGACTTAATGGGAAGAACCCATGTGTGCCAGCGTGCCAGGGTGCCAAGCCACACACTGAACTGGACCCTCCTTTCCCAGTCTCCATCCATCCACTCAAGGCCCTGTCCATCCTCCTGCAGCTGGCTTAGCACAAGCCTTACAGCACTTTGCCCTCCCTGCCACCAACCTGCAGCACCCCCCTCACCAGAAGAGGGTGTTGGGAGCCTGTAAGTCATGACTCAACCTCAGCCAGAGAAACAGGCAAGAGGAGTTGGGTGTGGGCTGGGAGCTCCAGAAGGCTTGCCTCAGGGTCCTACCTGATTATAGACCTTCCATCAACTTGTGTGGGTGCCATGGGGACTCTGTCTCTTCCTGGCTACCCCGGACCCTGGCGGGGAGGCCTCACTTAGTGAGCCCACTGCCTCAGGGGCTGCAGGTGACAGATATCTCAGTGATGCTTACTCCATGGGCTCTGGACCTTTGATACACTGCTCTGTGGGTGACGTGCAGATGGTTTTCATGTAAGTGTAGGAGGAGAATCCTGTTCTCATCTTCTGTGATTCAGGCACCTATTTACCAAGGAGCACACAGAGTGGATGGATTGGAACCCGAGGCTCCACAGCACATGCGTTTAGCCTGGTACATTTTATAATTAGGAGTTATTCAGCCAAGGAGACTAGCAAGAGGTTGGGGAAGCCAACTCCCCTCCCCACACTCAAGCCAGTATAAATACCACCCCAGATCTCCACCCAGTAAGATCATGGTGGACTGGGCCTGGGGGGCCTCCCCCAAATCCCTCCCCAACCCATGTGTAGGGAGGAGCGTAGGAACACCTCCTTACCGGACCCTAGTCCATAGCCACATGTCTATCTGTGCTGCTCTCTGTCTCTGCTGTAGCACAGCTGGTTGCCATGGAGACCTGGCTCTGGTTTCTTGCAGCCTAGATGAGCAGCTACTGAGGACAGCTGGCAGCCAACACTCAGCTCCTCCCCAGGACCTGTGTTGGCAGTGAGTGAGGGTAGGAGTAGTGGGAAGGACCCATGAGGGTATCAAAGATGGGGGCACTATTTCTGCCTTTGGAAATTACTGGGGCTTGGGGCAGCATCCTTGCCCTCTTCCTAACCTACATCCACCGAGCCCACTAAGGTACCACAGGTCTCTCTCCTTCTTAACTCCCATACAGTTTCACAGAAGTGGGGTTTTTGCCCTCGTTTACAGGTGAGGTGACTAATGAGGGGCCTAAAGAGGCCAGCTGACATCCCTCATGGGGCAGCGTTTCTAAACTGAGTTCTGTTGACTAAATAGGAAAGTCAACAGTCAGTGGGCTAAATGTGCTTTTTAAAATAGGGTCTCACTATCTAGCTCTGGTTGTCTTAGAACTCACTAGGTGGGCCAGGCTGTCCTTGAACTCACATAGATACACTTGCCTCTGCCTCCTGAAGGCTGGGATTAAAGGCATGCACCACAGCACCCAGCTAAATACGCTCTTCTTAACAAAATTTTTAGATGAATTCATCATTTTCCAAGTGTGAGTATTTTGCCTTTATCTATGTACTATGTTTGTATGTGCGTGCACATGTCCAGTTCCTCCAGAGGTCAGAAGAGGGTGTCATGTCCCCTGGATGGTGGTGAGCTGCCATGTGGGTGCTAGGAATTGAACCCCAGTCCTCTGCAAGAGCAGCAAGTGCTCTTAACTTCTGGCTGTCTATCCAGTAGAGATATGCTCTAAGGGTGACCAGACACTCCCCAGACCTGCTGTGTGCCCCAAACTGGATTCTAGGTTTTGGGAGTGTAGTCTGCTTTCTGGCCCCGAAGTGCTGCCTGGCCCTGTTTGCAGGAGCCTGACCTTGGTGCCCGTCCTTTCCGACTCTCTACCCCTTTTCTGAAGCCCCCTGTCACTGCAACCCACTAATAGCCATATGGCTTTCAGAAAGTCACTTAACCTTTCTGTTTCTTGGTTATTTATCTGTCCATAGAGCCAGCCCCTTTAGGACTTCACTCCTAAGCTGGTGGAGCTAGTCTGTGCACACACCTGACTCCTGCACAGAGGGAGACCTGTCCCTTCCTGGGATCCCTAGAGCAGAGGACAGCTGAGCCTTCCGGGGGCTCCAATCAGTGTGGCCACCCTGTCTCAAAACACAAACAAAAACAAAAACAAAAAAAAAACAGAACACCAAAACAAACACCTATTACTCATCCTGCTTTCCCTCCTCCCTCTCACACCTGAGATATGGTCTTGCTGTGTAGCCCAGGTTGGCCTCAAATTTACAGTAACTCCCCTGCCTCTGCCTAGCAAGCGCTGAGATTACAGGCATGGCCCATCACGCCCAGTGCTTCATTCTGCTCCTGCCAGTGTTTCTCCTTCCTCGTGAGCAGCACTGCATCCCGGTGTTCTGAGTAAGCAACACAGCTCCTCGATTGCTGCCTGGGAAGCAGGCTGGGCGCGTCCCGGAGGGCTGAGCCGAGAACCTTAGTGGGCTTGGGCAGCCGATGAACCTCCACCTGCTGCCATCCAGGAATCAGGAAACATTTCCATTCTCCTGGCAGTGTCAGCAGAGGGGATAGCGCAAGCCATGTGGACAGGACAAAGGAGACCCATTCAGAGCCCTGGGTGCCAGCCCCATCAGAAGCTGAGGCTCCCACGGAAAGCTCGTGTGTGCCATATTTTACTGAATCTTTACTATGCCCACGAAACAGGCGCCTCAGACCCATTTTAACAGATGTGCGCATTGTCACTGGCCCAAGCTCCTACGACAAGTGGGAGAGGGGCAGGTGTGCAGCTGGCTTCACCAGACGGAAGCCTACTACAGGACGGGGCCCTGCCTTTGGGCTCCTCAGAGACCTTTGGCCAGCTCAAGCTCCCGGTCCTTCTCTCTGCAGCTGAAGGAGCACCCGGAGAAGGGCGTGTACGTAAAGGGGCTGTCCATGCACACGGTCCACAACGTGGCCCAGTGTGAGCGCGTCATGGAGACTGGCTGGAAGAACCGGGCAGTTGGCTACACCCTGATGAATAAGGACTCCTCTCGCTCCCACTCCATCTTCACCATCAGCATCGAGATCTATGCCGTGGGTATGGGGCCAGCTGTGGGCAGGGGGTGGCCCAGATGTCCTGAGCCTGGTTCCCCGCTCTTGCCAGGAGGGTGTCTCACCTCTGTGGAGCCTGGAGAGTCCCGTGACTGGGAAAAGACGTCCCTAACTGCCTGAGGGAAACAGACCAAGGTCCTTCCAGTGCGTGGACCTGGTTTCCTGGATCCGCAACGGCAACCACAAAAACCAGTAGATAACGCTGAATACTTCCTGTGTGCCGGCCAGTGTGTACGCTTTATCTATTCTTTGCAACCACCCCGTGAGTGAGCTAGACGCTAAGACCCCCATTCTACAGGTGAGAAGCCTGAGGTTTCAGGGCTGGAGCTCGGTACTTGAGAGCCTGAGCAGCCTGATCCAGGCCCTGGGGAAATTACTAAGGGCCTCAGGTCTGTGTGCCATTCAGACCTCATGACTCCTCTTTCTCAGTGACGTTCTCTGTCCTTCACTCGCACGCCTCTTTCTCTTCCTTGGAGAGCTGCTGAGAAAGAGGAAAAAGAAACCGCTGTCTACCCTGGGCCGCTGTGGGCTGCTGCTGTCTGAGGGTTCCCTATGCTTCCTCTGTGCAACTCTCTGCAGCAGCCCCCCTGGCAGGCATCATTTTACACCTAGGAAAGTTAGGCCCTGAGAAGTGAAGAGATTTGCTCGTGTAGGGGACCCCAGTCATGAAGTAGAGGAGCCAGGATCTGAACCCGTGGCCTCCCAGTACCTTGTCCACTAATGCTGTACTGCATCAGTCCATGGTCTGTCACAATTAGAACTTCAAAGAGCATAGGGCAGGAAGCCACCCAGGCAACACTGGGAACATAATGGTGAAGAGACCCTTGAGCCAGGGTGAAGGCCAGGGCTGATGCTCCCTACGTCCTGCCTGTTCAGCAACCTGGGTAACCTGTTCCCAGGTCAGCGCCCTGGTGCTTGCTTGAGGGAAACATCAACCTGGGTGTCCCCCGGGACACCTGTCTGAAGAGGTCATGACCTCACAGTTGCAGCTGGGGTAGGGGCAGCTGCCCAAATCAGTGGATGGGACATGAGCACTTTTGAGCTTTGCTGAAGGTTTGAAGGACAGGCTGATGGCTAAGCCTAGCCACTTTCTTCTTCTTTTTTCTGCTATGACTCATTGCCAGGTCTTCATGACCGTGGTTGGTGGATGGAGGATGATCCACGCTCGCTCCTTTTCTAAGCTGTCACCCATGAGGCATTCACATCGTTTCTGGTTTCCCAGCACAATGGACAATGCATTGTGTACAAGGCAGTTTCTGCTCTGAGACTCATTTGCTCAGGCTTAGACCTACCTGGTGTGCACTGTGAGAGCACAGAGCGCACACTCAAGGCTCATGATACACCCTGGTACATTCTACAGAGTGCTCTCCAAAAACAGTACGGGTTTCCTTCTGCTCCACTAAAAAAAAAAAAAAATCTTACACACCCAAGTCCTTTAGACACCCATCTAATGCCAGAAAACATTTTATCTCCTTTAAGATTGTGTAGCCAGTCTTGCTACTTTTTTGCCCACCCTTTTTTCCTCCTACCCCGGTTTCACCCCCTAACACTAGATAGGAGAGAAACCAGGATAGAGGGGAAAGAGGAATTAGGAGAATGCCTGAATCTAATTTGTTTCTTCTTTGAGCATGGCTACTAGCAAACTGAAAGCTAACTTGCTAAATGATCAACAACCACTGGCCCCACCTGTGGGGACTCTGGCTTTTATATACCCTCTGAAAAATTCCCAGAATTCCAGTCGTCACACAATCACAGAAACTATCTGCAGCTGGCAAAACAATGCCTCTGCTAGAGCACGAGGCAAATAGTCAGCTGCGGACGGTCTGAAGCAGCGCCATATTTCCCTGTGCCTGGGATTAAAATGAAGACACATGAATATGTCCGTGTTTTTAAAGAAACCAAAAGCCCAAAATTGTCACTACAAGATTGCTCTGCCTTGGTCAGACAATATGCAGCCAGTTGACCTTACATGTCCAACCCTGATAGGGAGCCAGTCAAGGTTGGCCTTACTTTGTGGATGGATCATTGAGGATTAGAGAGGTGTGTGGCTGTGCTCATGCGACACAATAAGGAAGAGGCAGGGCTGTACTTCAGAGCCGGTAACTTGAGCATGGAGGGGTACAGTTCCCTGGAGATCTTTTCATCTCCCTTTTACTATCCCCTGCCTTTGCTTTCATAGGACATCTGTCCTAACTGTTGTAAAAGAGACACTCGTGGGGGCTGGAGAGATGGCTCAGAGGTTAAGAGCGCTGACTGTTCTTCTAAAAGGTCCTGAGTTCAATTCCCAACAACCACATGGTGGTTCACAACCATCTAGAATGAGATGTGGTGCCCTCTTCTGGTGTGCAGGTGTACATGCAGGCAGAATATTGTATAAATAATAAATGAGAGAGAGAGAGAGAGAGAGAGAGAGAAAGAGCCTCCTGTCCTCAGAGAACAAATTTTTAACCCTGGAGTCAGGCAGCCCTGAGTTCCTATTTTGCCTCCCTTCCATAGCTTCTCTTTTATATGATTTATGTTTCTGAGCATTGGTGTTTTGCCTGCATGTATGTCTGTGTGGGGGTGTTAGGTCCCCTGGGACTGAAGTTAAAGATAGTTGTGAGCTGTAATGTGGATCCTAGGAATTGAACCAGGGTCCAGCCCTTCCCCCCTCCCCTGGCTTCTGTGTGGCTCTGGGAAAGTTCCATGTCCTCTCTGAGCCTAGACTCCTTACCTGTCGATGGCAGCTCCTGATAGGCTCCAGTGTAGTCCCGGCTGGGTGGTAGGCCTCAAGGGCCTTGGCGGCCAACCACCCTCCTCTCGGGAAAATGTGGGGCTCACCCAGCTGTTGCTCCCTGCCATCCCGTCTGTCTGCAGATGAGCGGGGTAAGGACCACCTCCGAGCAGGCAAGCTCAACCTGGTCGACCTGGCAGGCAGTGAACGGCAATCCAAGACCGGGGCCACCGGGGAAAGGCTGAAGGAGGCCACCAAGATCAACCTGTCACTGTCAGCCCTGGGCAATGTCATCTCGGCCCTGGTGGATGGACGTTGCAAGCATATCCCTTACCGGGATTCCAAGCTGACGAGACTGCTGCAGGACTCCCTGGGCGGCAACACCAAGACTCTGATGGTGGCCTGCCTGTCTCCCGCTGACAACAATTATGACGAGACCCTCAGCACGCTGCGCTATGCCAACCGGGCCAAGAATATCAAGAACAAGCCACGCATTAATGAAGATCCCAAGGATGCCCTGCTTCGAGAGTACCAGGAAGAGATCAAGAGGCTGAAGGCCATCCTGGCCCAGCAGATGGGTCCTGGCAACCTGTCAGGTGGGACAGGCTGGGGCAAGGGGGAGAGGGTGGGCCAAGCAGATTGAGATGTCCCTGTTTTCTCTGGCTCCCATAGGCAGGTCCTTTGATACCATTCAGCTCTGCGCACCCCAGTGGTAATGGCCTCAGGAAGAGGCCTGGTGGCCTGTCCGAGTCAGCCACAAGCTCACAGCCCACTCCCCATCTCTGGCTGCTCATCTGTCACCCGCCTGCCTACCCAACTGTCTCCCCCGCTCGGTGGCAGGGGCATCACGATCTTAGCATCGGGTGACTCACTTCCCCCACCCCCCTCCCCAGCTCCTGTAATTGCAGTTGCCACTTGCAGTCTTTCATCTGGCAGGTGTACAAACTCGGGGCTGGAGCACAGGCTCTCAGGGCTCGGGGACACAGCGGAGTGTTCTGTTGCTCTGTCTCGTAGGAACGGTGAGCGTGGAAGAGTCTGGCATTGGATCCTTGGTCCTCTTGCCTTCCCACCTCTGTTGACCCGTTCTGCACAGTTATCTACCCATCGCCCCAGCCACCAGCCACCCCTCCCCCCTCCCTTCCCACGTGCTTGCCTCCCTTTCACCTACTCCACTGCTTACACAGTCCCTGCTCGTCCGTCCTTCCAACACCCACCCACCCTCATTCACTTCCTCCTTCTCCTATCCGCCCACCCATTCAGACCTCATCCCCCAGCTGTGCGCATAGCCGCTCATTCTGCTGAACTCTCCCGTCCAACCAGCCAAAGTTCCCCTAGCATTTCTTTGTATGTAGACCAGGCCTGGACACTGGGGACACACATGACTCAGACCCCAGGCTGTGACTCTCTCGGGAAGAGGAGCAAACTTTAAGGGAGACAGCCCACAGTGGGCTGAGAGGCTTCAAGCCAGTCTGGAAGGCTGTGATCCATCATGAAAGGCTCCACAGAGGGTATAGGAGCTGAGCCGAGTCCTGGGCCATGAGACTCATCCCTGCTAGGATCTGGAGCAAAGTGTGACGATCCCCAGATGCCACAGTGCGCTTGTCTAACTCCGAATACTTCTGCTAGCTGCCTTTCGGCAGGGGAAGGGCTGGGTGGTCAGGCGGAAGGCGGCTGGAGGCAGAAGAATGCTCATCACCGTCCCTCCTCCGCCCCTATTCCCCCAAAGACTGGCAAGGGAGAAGTCCCAGCTCCCCAGTGTGTCCCCAGAGCAGCAGCTGACACAGCCCTCCAAGATGGGGGCCTCCTTGGGTTAGAGCTCTGATGCTCAGCAGTCAGTGGTGCCTGGCCTTGTACCAAGGAACCTCTGAGACCAAGTAGTAGTCAGTGGCTTACCTGGTCCTTGGGCAAGTGACCTAGCCCAAGGAGCTTGTGCTCTTGATCAAGACGGACTCAGGACACCTGCCTGGCTTCTGCTGGAGGAGTCGGGCAGGAAAGGAAACATGTGAGACAACACCTGAGGCTTTAGCACCCTCGTGGCCAGGATCATAGACCACGTGCTGTTCCGTGTGTGAGACTCCTAGTCTAGCGTTTAGTAAGAACATTAATGCGGGGCCTCTTCCCTCGGTTGCACACTTCTCCTCCTCCTCCCTTTTGCAAGATGTGGAGTATCCATGTGCCTCTGCTGGCCACCTCCCCGGGCTCCCGTTTCTCTCCCCGACACCCTCTTCTTGCCTGTACCTCAGGCATGCCTGCCCACAAATTGAATATCCCCTGTCTCTTGGCCTCTACTGTGAGTCTCCTCTCTAAACCCTTCTCTTGGGGCTGGAGAAATGGCTTGGTGGTTAAGGGCATCAGTTGCTTTTCCGGAGGATTGGGAAAATTCCCAGCAATCACACGGAAGCTTACAACCATCTGTAGCTCCAATTCCAAGGGATCTGCCACCCTCTTCTGGCCTCTGTGGGCACCAGACATGCAGGCAGCGCACAGACATATACGCACAGGCACCATACACATGAAAAATCAATTTAATGAATAAATAAGCCAGGAATGGTGGTACACACCTTTAGTCCCAGTACTTGGGAGGCTTTAAGTTGAGGTCCGCCTGGTCTGCAGAACAAGTTCCAGGACAGCCAGGACTAACTACACACAGAAACCCTGTCTCAAACGACAACAACAACAACAAAAATAAATATATAGATATATAAATAAATGAAACAAGTAAACCCTTACTCCCAGTTTCCCTTTGTCCCCTTTCTCCTGGCTTCCCACTCTCTCTGCGACATCAATGCTGACTGTACCCAGGTCTCTCCTGTGTCTTCCCCTGCATGGCCTCTCTCTCTCTTCTCTGTCTGCTGTACCCATCACTCTAGATACGCCAGCACAGGCCTAGACCTGCCCCATGGCCTTTCCACTCACTCTGCCCCTCTATCTGAAAGCTCTTGCCCATCTCTGCATGGCTTTCTCCTCTACCCTCAGCTCCCAGCTCCATCTACTCTCCACTGAGCCTTCCTGTCCGCAGTATTGGGATGGTCTCCAGGTTCTCCATTCTGAGCACCCTCTCTGCCTTTCCTTTGGACTCATTACACACCTGCTCACTTGCTTGCCTTTCTCCCCTAGTGCACAGTGTGTGGTGGTGTGGAGTTCCATCTAGGGCTGTGTCCCCAGTGTGCTGGGCTTCCGGGTGACTGCAGCTGAGTCTTCCATAGAAGTGTATTTATGCTTGGTTCCCGGGTACTGACTCTCAGCTCCTGTCTCTTTCCTTCCAGCCCTGCTGTCCTCTCAGACACCCGTGGGCCCTGTCCAGCCTGAAGAGAAGGTGCTGTCCCCCACTGTTGTCCAGCAGGACACAGAGGCTGAGAAGCAGCTGATCCGGGAGGTGAGACCGTAGCAAGCCACCAGTGTGGAGGAGGTGGTGTCCAGGGGAGAGCCAGCGCCTGCAGAGAGTCACCCTGCCTCACTCCCAGGGGATTGGCACCATAATGCCACCTTTGTTTCTGAGGAAACTGGGCCTCAGAGATATGTCACGACTTTCCAAAGCTATAGGGAAGACAGGAGTATCAAAGAGATGGACCCAGCCAGATGGTTGTGACACATGCCTTTAATCCCAGCACTTGGGAGGCAGAGGCAGGTAGATCTCTGTGAGCTGGAAGCCAGCCTGGTCTGTAGAGTGAGTTCCAGGTCAGTCAGGGCTACATGGAGAACCCCTGTCTCAAAAACAAACAGGAGTTGGATCCAGGGTTTGAACTTGGGTTCCTGGCCTAGAATGCTGTCAGTGTCACCTTAGAACCTGTGTGGGGAGAGAACTGGGGACCAGGGACATCCCCAAGAGAAGGTCTCCTTGGTAATGCTGGGAAAGGTGGCTGGGGATAGGAGTAGAGAGCATGTCCCTGGAGGGAGACAGTCCTTGGCAGAGGCCAGGCTAGCAGAGTAGAAAGGAGTCTGTCAGCCTTCAGCACTGTAGCTGAGCCTAGGCCTGAGAGCAGCTTGGCCTGTTTATCCTTGAGTGAGTGTAGCACCAGCTTCATGTGGCACCTAGGTCCTCATACCACATGTCATCTCCCAGCATCCCTGGGAAGCAGCAGGGCAGATCTCCAGGGATATATACATAGGAAGAGGTGATAGAGGCTCTCCTGTCAACTCCAGGCTCTGTGGCATTCCGGAGGCCCCCTGCCCCTTGAAGACTGCCTGCTAACTCTGCTTGATGGTTTGTTTGACCTTGGGTGGTGTCTGTGGGGAACTGGCTGTTCCTCCGGGGAACCCTGATACTAGGCAAAGACAGCTCTTGGGAGCTCTAGCCTGGCCTTTTCTATAGCTGAAGCCCTCACCTCTAGTCTTCAAGACTCTTGTCAGGCTGTGCGACCAGGGGCCTGGCTTGCAGGCTCCAGCCCTGAGAGCTCTAGCCTTTTAGCTGGTTAGGGTAGGTGTGGATGTTGACTCTGTCGCTGGGACAGTCTTGCCTTTAGTGGAGGTGGGAGGAAGAAGAAACCCTCAGCTGGGCAGTGGCAGCTCTCCAGGGGCAGAGGCAGGTGAATCTCCAAATCTGTAGGTCCAGGCTGACCTACAGAGTGAGTTCCAGGATAGCCAGGGCTACACCAAAACAAAACAAAAAATGAACAAACAACAAAAAGTCAAAACAAAACAAAAACAAAAAAGAGGCCCTCTGGGCCTCTTACAGGACCACTAGGATGGCATCTTTTTTTTTTTTTTTTTAGGATGGCATCTTAAGCTTGCAGGCATCACTAGGATCCCTTCCAGTGTTAGGGGCACTGGGCCTCTGGGTAGCAGTGACCAGGAGCCACACCCAGTGACTTGGAGTGGTTGTGGATTCTCGTAATGACAGATGGATTTGGGTCACAGATCCTCGGGGGAGGAGGGGGCTAGACAGTACCTAGAATGGAACCTTGTAGGCAGGCTACCTCATGGTCTGGTAGGTTGAATGTCACCTCCCCCTAGTGGTCTCCCAGGAGAACGCACCCCACACTGGACAGGTGGTCTCCATCACAGGGAAGTAATGGGCGTTGCCTGCCTCTTCTTGCCTATGAGCTAGTGCAGAGTCTAGGCCATCAGGTGTACACCAAACACTGCTGTCCCAGGATCCCATTTCTGACACTGGAATTTCTGCTCTGAGCTGTGACCAGAAGCAGAGGTGTGAATGTCTTCTCCCTTCCCTCCCATGCTGCTTTTTATCTTCTGAGTCCTATTTTCTGAGTGCCTGCTGTGTGCTGAGAACCGCATTCCAGATTAGTCAGACCTATGTATGCATGTACAAATGAGGGCTCTGGCCTGGAGGTAGCTCAGCTGTGAGCCCAGGCATGGCTCAAGGCTTCAGCCTCCAGTCAGAATGGGGAGGTTTGGACTGGAGAATTCCCGGTGTTACCCGGTTTTTCATTGTAAGAGTCCTGTTCTGACAGGCTCTGTGGCTGGCAGATGGTTTGAGCCCTCCAAGGCCTCTGTTTCATCATCTGCAGAATAACCACTATGGCAGCCTTCCTGCTGTTTTGCACATATCATACAAGGAAAAAACAAAAACAAAACAAAACAAAACAAAACAAAAACAAAAAAAAAAAAAAAAGCAAGCCAACAAAAAAACAAGGTCCCTTCCCATCCATGAGTACTAGGCAGAAGCAGGGGGCTCAGGTCTTGAACGTCAGCTCCATCCTTCCTCAGCAAGAGTGGCCCGAGCACCTGCTTGGGACTGCGGCCATAGCTGGAGGGCACACAGCCCAGGGGGAGGGGTTGTTTTAAACATTGAAAGGGCCAAGGCATGCCATAACTGCCAAGCAATGGCCAAGTACAGAGGGAGAAAGGAGACTTAATGTGCAAAGGCCTGGGAGGCAACTTCTGAAGCCTGCAGGACAGGCGGGGAGGGTAGAGACATGGGCGGTATCCTGAGTCGTACTGACGGGCCTCCTGTGATTCAGGGACTCCCATTTAAGAGTGACAGTGTAAGGCAGGACAGCTGTGTGTACATGTGCCTGTGTGCGTGTAGGGTATACCCACGAGAGATACGTGTGCATGCCTGCATTCCTGTGCTCCTGGGGGCTGTGTTTGGCTGAGGGTCAGGGGCTGTGCGGAGAGGAAACAATGGGAGGATGTAGAGGTGGGGAGCTGGGCAGGCCGAAGACTGATCCATTGCTAGGATGAGGCTCCCCAAAGGAGGAAGCAGGTGAGGGTGGGGGTGATGATGGAGCTCCTGGGGGCTGAGCCGGGGGTGTCAGAGAGCAGCCTTAGCGTCACTGCAAGCATCAGGATGTTCAGCTGTTGTCTGAAGATGCATTGAACAGTCCTCAGAGTGTGTGCATGCTGGCGACGGAGCCTGACGGTAGCTCTCTGGACAGACAGAAGCAGAAGAGACGAATGGCAGAGAGTAGCCGAGTTAGTAAGGGGGTCTCTGCCAACCATGAGAATGCACTCGCTGGGGAGCAGGGCAGAGCCCCTGAGGCAAGAGAGAAGGGGGCATTTCTGGACAAAGCAAGTTACCAGAAGCCAGATGTGCTAAATAATAATAAATACATAAAAACAACAAACAAAAATGAGGCGTGGAAAGGCCAAGGGTGCACATTCCACATACTATCTGTGCTTCGTGTGTTACCAGCCTCTTCATCACTGTGACGGAATGGCTGACACAAACAACTTCAAAAATGGAAGCATCTGTTTGGCTCATGGCTTCAGAGGTTTTGTTGCAGGGACCAGTGGCTCCATGCCCTTTGGACTGTGGAAGGGTGTGATGAAGAAAGGTGCTTGCCTCACGGTGGCCAGGAAGCACAGAGAAGGGAAGAAACTATGCTGGCGGCTTCCTTCTCCCCCCCACCCAGGCCTCTAGCCTGTGGGATGGTGCAGTCCGACTTCAGGGCGGGCGTTTCTCTGTTCCTCAGTCTTCTCTGTAAACGTTCTCAAAGGCACACTCAGAGGTGTGCCTCCATACTAATCTGGGTGCTTCTCAGTCCATCAGCCATTCTAATTTCATTTCTGTTGCTGTGAGAAAACACCCTGACAGAAAGCGACGTATGCGAGAAAGGGTTGAATTTTAGCTTACAGTTCCAGGTTGCAGCCCATCGCTCTGTGGAAGTCAAGGCGGGAACTTTAAACAGGTAGCCCTGTCACACCCACAGTCAAGAGCAGGGACATGTGAACACATGCACACTCGCTGGCTTTGCCCAGCTGGGTTTTTCTCTACTCTTCTACATTCAGGGCCTCCTGCCTAGGGAATAGTGTCACCCACAGTGGGCTGCATCAGTTAACACAATCAAGATAATCCTCAGACATGACCACAAGCCAACCCAGTGTAGACAGTCCCTCACTGAGACCTTCTTCCCAGGTGAGACTAGGTTGGGTCAAGGTGACAAAGCTAGCCATAACAACAGTCAAGGTGACAGCCATCACACCACCATTCATGAAGCCCTGGGTTCCATACTCAGCACAGAAAAAAACAAAAAACAAAACAAAAAACAAAAAAAATCCACCACAACAAAAACTTGTTTTTAATTTTAAAACAAGGAGCTGGAGTGGTGGCTCAGTGGTTAAGGGCATTGGTTATTGTTTCAGAGGACCAGAGTTCAATTCTCAGCACCCCCAAAATGGGTCACAGCATATAGAACCCCAGTTCCAGGGGATCCAACACCCTTTTCTGGCCCCTGTGCATAGTGTGCAGATTTACGCACAGGCAAAATACCCATACAATTAATAATAATAACTTTAAACAATAAGAAGAGTAATGAGAGAAAGAAAAGGAGAGGGAAAGGGAGAGAAGGAGGAGGGAGTAAGGAAGAGGGAGGAGAGAGGAGGGAGGAGGGAGTAAGGAGGAGGGAGGAGGAAGGAGGGAGAGGGAAAGGCAGAGAGAAGCCAGGGAATAGAAACGTATTTTGTTATCAAAAAGAGTACCGCTGGGTAGAAACGTGGCTAGATGAGGAAAGGCATTCATGGCAGAGTGTGGTGTGGAAGAATTAGACCGAAAACAGTCATGAGAAGTATTAGTCCATCACAGCTGCACGGACAACAGTACAGAGGGGCTGTCTGTCACCAGAGAACTGTCACCCCCATGTGACAGAGGGACTTCCCTCTGGTTCTCTCCTGTGCTGTCTGAGTATCCAGAACTGGAGGTCGGTTCTGAAGGCCGGTTCTGAGTAGAGGTGATTGGCCACCCCTGTGTCCCCACCACCCCAGGAGTATGAGGAGCTCCTGGCTCGCCTGAAGGCTGACTACGAGGCGGAGCAAGAGTCTCGGGTCAGGCTACAGGAGGACATCACTGCCATGCGCAACTCGTACGACGTGAAGCTGTCCGCGCTGGAGGAGAATCTGCGCAAGGAGAAGGAAACAGGTGCGCTCTGCCCCGGGGCAGCATGGGAGTCCACCTCCTGCTTTTCCTTTCAGTGACAGGTGTGTAGAGGGGTCTCTGCATGGTAGGCTCAGGTCTCTCTGATCCAAACAACAATTCAGCCAGGCAGGTACCACGGTTACCCTCCCCTTATAGATGAGGAAATAGGCCCAGAGAGGATGGGTAACTTGCCTTTGACAGTTGGGGAAGTGGAGTCAGGATTGGAATCGAGGCAGTCTGGGCCCAAAGCAATACTATCTCTGGTGCTTTGCCCACAAGTTGGGCCACCTCGGGTGCATTAGTGAATAAAGGGTCCCATGTTTGAGAAGCTGTCCTATTCCAAGTTTTTGCATTTGCTAGTCACTTACTGTTGAGCCTGTCTGTAGTTACAATTCTGGAATTTCGGTGTCTTTAAAAAAGCACAGAAACATTTTAAGAATGTGCTTTCATTTTAATCCCAGGAGTAGGAATATGGGCTGCTTCGCAGCAGCTGACTGGGATTTGTCTCATGCTCTGGTGAGGGCGTGATTTTGCCAGCTGCAGCTAGTTTCTTCGACTGTGTGACATTGGGAATTCTGGGGACTTTTCAGAGGGTGTATAAATAAATGCTAGGGCCCCAAAGGCGGGGTGGGTTGTTGGTTGCTGTTGGTCACAGCTTGTAAAGTATCTGTGCATGATGAAGAAACAAGACAAAGGACCCTGGGCAGTGGTGGCGCATGCCTTTAATCCCAGCACTTGGGAGGCAGAGACAGGTGGACCTCTGAGTTCAAGGTTAGCCTGGACTATAGAGCTGGACAGCCAAGGCTACACAGAGAAACACCTACTCAGAAAAAGAAGAAAAAGGAAAGGAAAAACAAAAAGGAAATGGATGATGGATGGAGTGTAAAAGAAGGTTTACAGGCCTAAACTGGGAGCAAAGCCCTGTCCAAATGGGGAAGAGAGACCCTACTGCTAGCAGACACCCTGAAGAAGAAGGAAGCATGGCTTCTAGCATCTTCTGTTATTCACACAGTCCCTCAGTTTGAATACTGAGGTCGCCGCTGTTTGGTTTCTGGAGCTCTAACATGCATCCAGCTTTCATTTTCTTCCAGAACATCTGGCAGAGTGGTGGACAAGAGCCCTGATCTGCACTCAAGAAGGATCTTAGGGGTCTTAGCTGAGGGGTTATACCTCAGGGGACCTCAGCCTTGGGGGCGCAGTGAGACACACAGGGTGGCCTGCTCACACGGAGGGAGGGACCGTTCAGCCAGGGTGGCCAGGGCCAGGCCATCATTGGCTGAGGAGTCAGAGAATGGAGAGACTGCGGTGCTGCTCGGGGATGGCTTCTTGGGAGAGGGGCTGAAGGCAGGGTCAGGCTCTGGAGAGAAGGCAGCAGGGCAGGGATGGGTGACATGGGATCTTCAAGGTTCTGACTCAAGGTGGGTCTTTGAAGCACAAGGGGTGTAGGGCCACCATCCCCTTGGGAAACTGTCAGACACTCTTGTTCTTTGCAGAGGCGGTCCTCAAGGCAGAAGTCCTCTATAAGGCAGAGGTCATGTCCAGGGCCGAGTTAGCCAACGGCTCCGAGTACTCCCCTGCTTTGCAGTACGACACGGCAGTGAAGCCCACCATCCTCTCAATGCCTGAAACGCTGCCCATCGACGAAGTCGCCAAGAGCCAAGCCCCCCTCCCATTTGAGGAACTGCCCCGGGTGGAGCCCCCCAGGTCAGAGATCTCTTTGGAGTCCAATGAGTCATCCACCCATGAAGACTCCTCCATGTCAGAGGCCTTCCTCGGACCAGAGGAGCTTTCCAATGTGAAATTCTCCATGCCTGAAGGGCTGGCTGAGGGCAGGTACTTCTCTGATGGCTACCTCGGCCCAGAGGCTGCTGCATCTCCACTGAGGGCAGAAAACTACACACAGGGGGGCGAGCCACCACTGGAGCCCCCCCTGCGGATGTTAACAGGCCTGCAGGACCCCTTTGCTGATGTGGAGGCAGACGCCCCCCCCAAGCAGGTAGCGAATGTCCTGTGGAGCGGCAGGGTGGGCTGGGAGCACAGAGGTCAGGTGTGCACAGGGCCGCTGACCTCTGCTGCTCGGCAATGTCCACTTTGTCCTTTATGACTCGGTGGCCTGTTTGGGGACTCTGCGGTCTGGGAAGAAGATACTCTGGCAGAGACACGCTAGGAAAGCTGGGTTGGGGGACCCAGGTTATGTAAGGCGGGCACCTGTTCCTTTGGCAGGGAGGATGGTGAGTTGCTGGGATGCCGTAGCCATCCAGAGCCCCTGCCTAAGAGAGCTAGGGAGCCGGAGTCTCCCCACAGGGCTCGGCGTTCCTCCCCTGTCCCTTCCCGACCAATCTCATGTCCCTTCCTGTTTAAGAAAACGTTCCTCTTTCCTCCCCACTTTTCCCTGTGAAATCCCAGCTCCCACTTCTATCCCAGCTGATGGCACAACAGCAGCCATTGGCCTCTCTAGACCACAGTTCCCTCCCCCAAACAGTGGAGGTGGCGGCTTGTGCTGGGCATGAGATAACACAGAGTGAATCCTAGGACACCACAGGCATTCACCTGTGTCCTGTCTCCCCGCACTCACCTCTTCACCCATCCAGCGGGTGGTCAGCAGCCCCCGAGGAGGTGAAGTGGGTGTCAATAGAGAGGACTTCTGGCCAAAATCACCCCTTCTTTTTCTCACCCATTTCTTCCCACAAGCAGCCATCCTCCACGGACCTGCTGGAGTCCAGTGACACCAAGTCGGAAGTTGAGGTGGCTGACAGCCTCCTGCTCGGGACTGTGAGTACCTGCCTGGCCCTCCAAGGACCTGGCCCAGCTGTCTGACTTGTGCTGTCCCTTGGGACTAGGTCTCCTTGCCTCCACCATCCCCAGGCAGGGGTCCCGTGGCTGAGCACTGTTTAAAAGGAGGGCTACCACTGGGTGCCTGGGTGATGTGAATAAGAGGCCTTCTGCAGACGGGGGCTTTGGAGGCCCTTGTCTTAAAGGAGCAAAGGCAGGTGTGCCCAGAGGACTAGGGCCGCAGGAGCAGGAAGGCCTGGCGCTCCTAAGGCACTGTCAGGGACCTCTTATAGGCCTGTGGCTCTCAATTTGGATACCCTGTGTCTTCTGCTTGGGACAATGCGGCAGACAAGTGGGGAGAGAGGAGGCCTCAGCATCTCTTCATATTTAGGGAGAGCAACAATAAGCTTGCGAGTCTCCAGGCAGGGGGTGACAGTAGGTACTAGACAAAATGATGGGAGCCCCAACTAGGAGGTGAGGAGGAAGGGGGAGAAGCTGGGAAGCATTTATTATTTATACAATATTCTGTCTGCATGTGTGCCTGCAGGCCAGAAGAGGGCACCAGATCTCACTATAGATGGCTGTGAGCCACCATGTGGTTGCTGGGAATTGAACTCAGGACCTTTGGAAGAATAGCCAGTGCTCTTAACCTCCGAGCCCTCTCTCCAGGCCCTGAGCATTTCCCCCTTTTTTTCTTTTTCTTTCTTTCTTTTGCAGCTTTCTATTGATTCATTCTGAATTTACATGCTGCACCCAATTCCACTTATCTCCTCATCCATTCGTATCTGCCTTCTGACGTTGCAACCCACACGCCCCCTCAAAAAAAAATCAACAAAAAATAATTTGCTATGGAAGCCACAGTGTGCCGCACAGTAGACCCTTTTGTCCACACTTCTTCACTTGCAAATGTGCATTGCAGAGTCACTGGTCTGGTTCCAGGCCTTTGGCTTCTGCTACACTGTCAATACTGGAACCTCACCAGGACTCCTTTCAGCTATCCTATTGCTGCTCTGTGTCGTGGAGATCCCATAGTTTTGGATCTGTAGGACCGGCCCCTTCACTCACTCAGGTCATAGATGGGGTAGATGCTGGGGTGGGCCAATTCAAAGCCCTGGATCTGGGCCTGGGAGCTAGCGAAGCTGATCAGCCCGCCAGCTCTCCCGAATCTACACCACCAGAGCAAGCTCTCCTGGGCTCCCCAGCCAGGCTGTGGGGCCAGCTCGCTCAGACTCATGCCCTTGGGACCAGCTGACCTGTGCCCCCCCCCCCCCACACACACACCAGGGCCAGCTCTGTTGTGCTGCCCAGGTGAGGTGCGGGCTCCAGTCCCAGAAGTGCTGCAGCCAGTGAGGGGCAGGACCAGCAGGAAGAGCATTTCTTTCCAAAGACTTTCTCAACAAGATGCCCAGGTCCCCAGAGGGGCATGAAGGTGGACAGGTGGGGTGCAGAGGATACTTAGGAGAGGGTGGGAAGAGGCCACAGCCAGGGAGGAGACCGGAGTTTCCTGTGGATGAATTCCAATGACAGCGATGGAAGGTTCTAGTGAGGAAAGGGATGTTATGGTCAGTTTATACTTTTCAGAAAATTGTCCTGCTTCTTTGGTGACTGGATTGGAGCGCTCAAGAGAGGGGACTGTGGGCCCACTTGGGGTGCTGGTGAAGATAACTACTAAGAATTAGTTTGAGTGCAAAAAATATTTTTTAAATTCATAATGTCCTGCCCTCTGAACATGTGCATGTGTGTGCATGTTTTGCATGTATGTGGGCCCATGTCTGCGGGTGCACATGTGAGCACACACATGTGGGGGCTTGATGTTGGAAATCACCCTCGGCTGCTCTTAGCCTTGTTCGCTGACACGGGGTCTCCCCACCAACCTTAGGGCTCACCCACAAGGCTGGTCTCAGTAACCAGTTTGCTCTAGGGTCCCCTGCCTCCTGCCTCCTGATGCTGGGGTTACAGGGAATTTACGTGGGTTCTGGGGGCGCTGAACTGTAGCTCAACATTTGCAAGTGCTGTAGCCACTGAGCAGTCTCCCCAGCCCCTGACACACGGGACTTTTGGAGCACGCTGGGAGCTCAAAGCTTTTCAGATTTCTGTGCACGTTGGGTTTCAGACTTTGGGATTAGGGATGTTCAGCCTTCATGTCTGGGGCAGGGGCGGACTGTGCGGGGTCATTCTTGTCTCCTTCCCATCTCGTTTCCCTCTGTGCCCAGGAGCCTGATCTAGGCTTGAAAGCGGCCCAGGAGGCGGTGCCCGAGGCAGAGACTGGTGTGTGGATGGAGTCTGAAGCCCACGTGGCCCCGGTGGCCGAGGTGGCCCAGCCTCAGCCCTTGCTGGCCATGGCAAGCATGAGAAGGGAGAGCGTGGGCGTGGAAGTGGGTGTGTTGACTGACGAGCTTCAGCCGGTGGATCAACAGCGGGTGCTGGCTCGGTGAGCGCCCGGGGTCAGGCGTCAGGAGCCTTAGCGGGTGATGGGAAGAAGCCCCAGCCAAGGCTGGAGGTTGAGGAGTTGTAGCCCCCAGCGGGGGTGAGGTGAGAGCCGCCTCTTACCCTCTACTGAGCTAGTGAGCACACACCAGGCCCCTCCTCCGCCGTCAGAGGGGCAGTGGGGCAGGGGCGGTTGCCCCACCAGGCCAGGCAGGCAGAGCTGTGACCCAGAGCCACCCGGAAGCCGGATTTCCACTCAAGTGCCCTGGTGGGATGTGGCTGTTCCTTAACAGATTAAAAACTGTTGAGCACCGCCCCCGTGCCGATGGGGTATGGCCATGAGCTTTAGCTCTTTGCACCTCAGTTTACCACTCTGTGAAGTGGGTGGTGGCGAGCGGGTGGCGGGTGCCGGCCGACCAGCGGGACCGTGGCGCTTGCTTCCTCCCCTCCCCGCCCCCCCGGGCCGCAGCTTGCAGTTGCTGGAGCAGCAGGTGGTTGGGGGCGAGCAGGCCAAGAACAAGGACCTGAAGGAGAAGCACAAGCGGCGCAAGCGCTACGCCGACGAGCGCAAAAAGCAGCTGGTGGCCGCGCTGCAGAACTCGGACGAGGACAGCGGCGACTGGATGCTTCTCAACGTCTACGACTCCATCCAGGAGGAAGTGAGGGCCAAGAGCAAGCTGCTGGAGAAGATGCAGAGGAAGGTGAGGCCCCGCCGGGCTCAGGCCCCTGCTCGCAGGCAGCCGCCCACCCCGTGTGCGCCCTCTACGTGCTTCTGACGCTCCGGAAGAAATGTCTGAACGGGGCCTGGCGGCTGAGGCTGGGACGGAGTGCCTGAAGCGTTTTGCGGCTGGGGATACAGGAGGCACTCATTACTTGCTGTGAGGGTGGGTGGCGCGTACTGGGTCAAGGCTCAGAGGGCCGGGCGCAGCGTCGGTGGGGCTACGGGAAGGGGAGAGCTGATGGAGCAGGTGCTGAGCGGCTGCCGGGGCCGGGCAGGTGCTGAGCCGCCTTTCCCTGCTCGCCACCTGGCACTCATCCCTTGGCTCAGCTCCGGGCCGCCGAGGTAGAAATCAAGGACCTGCAGTCAGAGTTCCAGCTGGAGAAGATCGATTACCTGGCCACCATCCGCAGGCAGGAGCGGGACTTCATGCTCTTCCAGCAGCTCCTGGAGCAGGTGCAGCCGCTCATCCGCAGGGACTGTAACTATAGCAACCTGGAGAAGATTAGGCGGGAGTCGAGCTGGGATGAGGATAACGGCTTCTGGAAGATCCCGGATCCCATCATCCTGAAGACCAGCCTCCCAGTAGGTCAGCTGCCCCGCTGCCGCCCCCACCGGCTCACCGCTGCCCCTGCCTCTTTGACAGCTGGCCGCCTTGCAGAGGGACAAAGCCTGGCCTCTTCCTGCAAGCAGTGGGGGCGTCACACGCGGTACCCTGGGGATCCAGTGCGTTGGGGCTCTGAGAAAGTGTGCTATGGAGTCGGACAGGTGTGTGTGTGTGTTGGGGTGACCTCTGTGGACCTGACAACATCTGTGACATAGAGATAATGAAAGCCCGTTCCTTAAAGTTGCTGTGAGGCCTGTGGTATGCTCAGGCGTGTAAATGGCTTAGAGTGCTGCCTACTTCCGTCACTGCTGCCTTTCCATCCTTGCACAATCCCACAAAAGGGTCGCGACTAAAACCAGATTTCAAAACAGGGCATGGTCATACATGCCTATCATCCCAGCATTTGGGAGGTGGAGGCAGGGAGACCAGAAGGTCAAGGTTATTCTTGGCTGCACAGAAAGTTGGGTTTACAAGGGACCCCACTTCAAGAACAAAACAAAATGGGTTGGAGAGATGGCTCAGTGTCTAGGAGTGTGTGCTGTTCGTGAAGAGGACGAGAGTTTGATTCCCCACACCCTGCAAATGGCAGTTCACACTGCTAGTAACTCCTGCTCCGAAGGGATCTGACATGCACTTCTGGCCTTTGTGGGCACCGGGCAAGCACACACTGCGCATAGACACATACAGACAAAACACTCACATGCATGAAATAAAGATAAACTGGTAAATAAAGCCCCCAAGACCAAAATAAAGGTAGGTGTGTGCGTGCAAGTGTGTGTGTGTGTGTGTGTGTGTGTGTGTGTGTTCCTGTACTCCCCTGTGTGGCACCCTGAAGTCCTCTTCCTGGTCAGCGTCCATGCATGCTTCCATCCCTGAAGTGATGAGTAGCCACAGATGCCAGTCATTCCATTAAAACTCCAGCCAGCTCCATTTCCCATGAGCTCTGGGGTGGCAGTCTCCCTCAGTCCTACTCACCTGGTGCCCGGCTAGGAGCAGTCACATGGCTTCCTGTCTCAGGGTCCTCTGTTGTCTTCATCCCTTGGCTGGGCTGTGAAGCATCCCATTCCTGGCCTCCAGCCAAGCCTTCCCCCTTCCCCCACCCTGGCCAAGGCAGCTCCCTCTCTGGCTCCCTGTGAATGGCTCCTCAGCTTCTGTTTTCTCATAGCAGTTTCAACTGGGCCACAGAACAAGACAGCCCGCAAAACCTCTGCAGCAGACAGTGGCGAGCCACACATGGTAAGGCCCGAGGTGGAAGGGAGGGAGAGGTGATGGGAGGTAGCGGTGAGGGCAGAGCATAGGGTTTGCCCACAACGTGCTGTGGGTCAGTGAAGTCGCAGGTTGCTTTTGTCTTGCTTGGGGACTAAAGCCATGTGCTGAACCTGGACCTTTTCCCACCACTATATACACCTGGACCCTCAGGTAGTTCCTCATTCAAAAGTACAGAACAAAGAGAGAGAGTCTGTTCCAACCCAACGCCTGCTCAGGCAGCTCATGGTGACTGTCTGCAATGGTCTGGTGCCAGCCATAGACTGTGTTTGCCTCAGTGGCTTAACTTCATAAGAAAAAAAGCTTTACAACCTTTTTAGCCTGGGCCTATGGAGAGGTTAGGTCAGAACACTTTCAGTCCCAAGCAGCAGATGCCAAACAGCCAACACAAAAGAGAGACATCACTGATCCGTGTAGGTGGATCAATTTCAAGCATGGTTGGGTCTAGGGGCTCAGGCAGGGTCCTGTGTCTGGCCTTAGCCTGTGTCTTTGTGGCTCAGGGTTTCTTCCTATGGCGGTGGGGGGGGGGGGGGGGGTAGAGGGCAGGGATGGCTACTGGCAGTTAAGATACAAAAGGAAGAAAGCTATTTAGCATCCTCTAAGCTTGTGCCTCTTTTCTTTTTTCTTTCCTTTTCTTTTCTTTTTGGTTTTTGAGACGGGGTTTCTCTGTGTAGCTTTGGCTGTCCTAGACTCACTTTGTAGACCAGGCTGGCCTCGAACTCACAGAGATCGGCCTGCCTCTGCATCTCCAAGTACTGGAATTTCAGGCATGCACCACCACACCCAGCTAAGCTTGTGGTTCTTAACCTGAGGGGTTGTGACCCTTTTGGGAGTCAAACGACCTTTTCACCAGGACCCTATATCAGATATCCTGCATATCAGATATCTACATCAAGAGTCATAACAGTAGCAAACTTACAGTTATGAAGTAGCAATGAAAACAGTTTTATGGTTGGAGGGTCACCACAGCGTGAGGCGCTATATTAAAGGGTCCCAGCACTAGGCTGAGAACCACTGCCTTATGTCATCCTTACGTCAAAGCCTGTGCAAAGACTGAGATTGGCTCTGCCTGATCACAGGCCTACTCCTGGACCGGTTCCTATGTTCAGGAAGATGTAAATCTGTGATTGGTGCTAGTCTGGGTCCTACATCTGGCTCTGTGAAGTCTCTCCCCACCTGGATAGGAGGAAATAGTTACCCAGTGCCAAAGATTCAGATTGAGGAAAACAGGCCCATCATAGCAGTTTCGAGAAAGAATCTTCCAGGGGCTTGTGAGATGGCTTAGTGGTTAAGAGCACTGGCTGCTCTTGCAGAGGTCCTGAGTTCAACTCCCAGCAACTGTGTGGCCATGACCATGTGTAATGGGGTCATGAGCATGTGTAATGGGGTCTGATGCCCTCTCTCTGGCGTGCAGGTGAAAAAGCACGTTCCCGGGAGAGGGAACAAGTGTTGGCCACAGAAGTAGCTGACGGCAGACTTTCCCCCACACCCTTCCCGGCTGTGTGTACATGGAGGGACTGGGGCACATAGTCTGTCACCCTGGCCCCTGGTGAAGGTGGAAGAACACATACTCCCCATCTCAAGAAGGGAGGGAGGCTGTGACTTCCCCGGTCCCAGCTACCTGGGTCCCTTCCCTAGGAGTCCTGTGAGTGATGGAGCCCAGAAGATGCCCAGCACAGCCTGCTGTCATCCATCCCCTAAGCTCCTGAGTCCAGGGCAGAGCCCCTAGTGTCTGCACAGATGAAGGGGCTGTCACTCATGCGGTTCTGAAATCTCAGCAGGAGGAAGACCGGTATAAGCTGATGCTCAGTAGAAGTGACAGTGAAAATATTGCTAGTAACTACTTCCGGTCGAAGCGGGCCAGCCAGATCCTCAGCACGGACCCCATGAAGAGCCTTAGTGAGTGTCCTGCTTCCCCTCCTCCACACCCTCTGGGAAATATGCATGGGGGGTGATTGTGAATTCAGGCACACACACAAAAAAAACTTTTCTCAGTTTCCTTGGCTATAAAATAAAGGGCATGACACCCACTTCTCAGGATTAGAGGAGGTGAGCTGGGGAAATAGGGCCACATAGTAGGTAACTCTGAGAGTCAATGCTTATTACTACAGTGAGTACCTGAGAGAAGCAATTTAGAGGAGTACTGGGAGTGTGGCTCAGTTTGTAGGGTCCTTGCCTGCCACGCACAAAGCCCTGGGTTCAATCCCCAGCACTGTGTAAAACAGGTTCCTGATGCTTGCCTCTAATTCCAGCACTTGGGGAGTTGGCAGGCAAGGGGTCAGAAGTTCAAGGTCACCTTTGGCTACATACAGAGAGTATGAGGCCAGTTAGTGAGAGCCTGTCTCAAGAAAAGAAGATTGAAAGATTGGTGTGGCTCACAGCCTCGGAGAACTTACCGCTTGGGTTGAGACGGAGTGGGACACTGTGGCGGAGGAGAGGTGCTTACTGCTCACATCGCGGTGGCCCGGGGAACAGCAAGCTCTTGGTAGGGGCTCTCTCCTTTTGCCCTTTTGGTCCATCCAGGCCTCTAGCCTACTATATGGAGCTGCTCACCTCAAGGCTTGTCTTCCTTCCTCATTTGTGACCCCAGAGACCGCTCTACTCTGGAACCCAGCCAGACACAGTCTTTCAGCCTAACCTTCACACGCGCGCGCGCGCGTGTGTGTGTGTGTGTGTGTGTGTGTGGTGTGTACGGGCTCAGTGGTGAATAGGACCCGGGCTCGGTTCCCAGTACCTAGGCGGTGGTAACCACCGTCCGTAACTGCTGTTTCAGGGGATCCAGTGCCCTCTTCCGGCCTCCCTGGGCACTGCACACGTGTGGTGCACACGCACACGCAGGCAAAGACAGTCATGTACATAAAATAAATCTAAAATAAGTGTTTAAAGATTAACCCTCACATCACTCAGTTCATGGTCTGCCTGCCTGAAGAGAGAGGGTCTGTTTTTGACACATGAGCTGGCCCTTGCACAGGGGTGCACAGATCAGGCCTTGTACTTTGGCTCTCTCAGAATCTGTTATGGTAACCCAGAGGAGGTTATGCCAAGGTAGCAGGAAAAAAAAAGGTTCCCAGAGCAAAACAGTGCCAATAATTGAAAAAAAAAAATCACTTCATTCTCCTCTTAAAACTAAGAACGGGGGCTGGTGAGGTGGCTCGCAGAGCGGAGGTGCTTGCAACCAAGACTGAGAACTTGTGCTTCATGCGCCAGGCCCCGTGTGGAGAAAGGAAGGGGATTTACTCCCACAGGTTATCGTTTTACCTTTACACAGGCACTGTGGAATGAGCAAGCAAGCAAGCAAGCAAATAAATGGGATAGAATTTTGGGAAAACAGAACTCACAGGGCATCCAGTAAAATATGTTAGAAGCAAACCTGAGGGCTGGAGGGATGGCTCAGTGGATAAAGCGCTGGCTCTCTTGCAAAGGACCGGAGTTTTTAGTTCCCAGCACTGCGGCAACTCACATCCTTCTCTAACTCTACTTCCAGGAAATCCATCCAGTGCCCTCTTCTGACCCCTGTGGGCACTTCACACAGTGCACAGACATACATGTGGGCAAAACCCTCACACCATATTAAAAAAAACTTTAACAATGGACATTAATTTTTTTTTTTTTAATTTCAAAACTGGAATCAGAAACTGAGTGAGTGAAGTTGTGGGTGGGAGAGGGAAGAACTGAGAATGCACTGAGGGCCTAACACCGCCCAGGTGACAGATAAGGAAACTGAGGCTCAAGAGCCAACACTGGGTAGGAAGTGCTGGGCTGGGCTGGTGCCCAGGCTTGTCTGCCTTAGGTAGTGCTGTCCTGGCTCACCAGTGTCCTTTGCTTCTTCTCTGTAGCGCATCACAACTCACCGCCTGGCCTCAATTCCCCTCTGAGCAACAACTCTGCCCTGCCGCCCACCCAGACCCCTGAAATGCCCCAGCCCCGGCCCTTCCGCCTGGAGTCCCTTGACATCCCCTTCTCCAAAGCCAAGCGAAAGAAAAGCAAAAGCAGCTTTGGCGGTGAGCCTCTGTGATCCAGCTGCCTGCTGCTACCTGCCTTTAGGCTTCCAGAAACTTCCAAGTCCTCCCCCATGAAACCCCACCAGGGCCTCCTCTCCCCTCCTCCACAGTGTCTCCAAGCCCAAGGGGATCTTAGCCCTGGGAAGACACATTCCCTTCCCTGTTCCCTAGAGAACTCACTCTGCCTCAGGGCCTGAGCTCTGTGGAAGTTGGGCTATCCTTCTCAGAGAAAAGCCTGCTCCAGCTGTTTGCAGCAGCCAACATTCCCAGACTTTCCTGCCACAGAGCCTACACAAGCCACTGTGGCTCTGCCTCCATGGGCTCAGATGCCCTGGACCGTCACAAGCACCCTCAACACGGGGCACAGAAGCTGCCACACGGACAAAGCCCAATATCTTGGTGACTTAAGATTTGGGCCTCTGTGTGACTGGCCCCTCCCAAAGGAACCTGTGCCACACAGTGCACACAGACGGAGACCTGAAGCCAGCTGCTATGCCTGGCTTGCCCTTGGTTGGACCGCAGCCCTGAGAAGGTGCTTCACAGTAAGCTGCCCAATAAACTGCCTTTTAGAATCAGCTCCCCTCCCCAACCCTCCGCTTCGTCCTGGGGCCTACCCTGCTGTCCTGGAGAGAGACTGGCTACTGCTTGCAGCAGCACTAGGGGTCCTGTCGACAGCACAAGTGACTATAGGAACAGAACCATGTCTTGCTGAGGCAGAAATGGTTTGGGTTGCGTGCATGTGAGTGAGTGAGTGAGAGTGTGTGTAGATCAGAAGGCAACCTCAGGTATTACTCCTCAAGCACTTTACAAATCAAGCTATCTCACCCAGCCTGGGTCTTTTTCTTTTCTTTTTGATATTGATTTGTCTAGTTAGTTAGTTGGTTAGTTGGTTGGTTGGTTGGTTGGTGGGGGCACATGTGCCGTGGAGTGCCTTCTACCACGTGGGCCCCAGGGATTCAATCTGGGTCACCAGGCTTGGCAGCAAGTATCCCCACCTACTGAGCACCCTCCCCTTATTTGCCCCCCCACCCCCATTTATTACATGTGCCTGATTTGGGGAGCATATATAATGAACCTTTGATGTGGGGGTGAAAGGAAAGCCTGCAGCAGGATCTTCTCCCCTTCCACTGTGGGTGCTAGGGCCTGAACTCCGGCTTCTACAGCACGCGCAGTTAAACCTCTCACGCCTGGGCCTGGGTCTGGACAGTCTTCAGGGGCCTGAACTGGAACTGGGTGTCCTGACACAGCCAGAAATGAATCCAGGTTGCCATGTTGGCCCTCCCCTTGGTATTCCAGGCCTGACCTGTGGTGGGCCCACAACCAGGGAGCTGATGGGTCCTGAGCCACCTCTGTCAACAGGAGTAGTGTGTACTTCATGGTGTTCCATGAAGGGTTAGAGTAGGGTTAGAGAGAGAGGGTGCTAGTGCTCCCATTCTGCCCTCTTCCTCATATCAGTGACTGTAGTAGGCCCAACGTCCCTGGGTTCACTGAAGAAGCCAGGGCAGGAGGTGAGGCCACTAAAGGCCACAGCAACAGAACCAGTCAGGGGAAGCCAGCTCAGGTTTTTATGGGAGCAACGCTCCACCCACCCCTAAGAAGGGTGGGGATAAGGGGGTGAGGGGAGATGGCACCGGGCTGGAGGGAGCTGAGAGAGAGCAGCAGGCAGGAAGATGGCAGCTCAGGGTGTGTGTGCTGGCAGTACTCAAAGCGGGAGCAGAGGGGCTCCCTGAGAGAGTGCCCCAAGCAGTGGCACGCCCTGAAGTCAGTGTCACTGAGTGGTGGGGTTGGACCGCAGAGAAGTTAGGAGAAATAATTTTTATATAGAGATGGGATCTCATACAGGTGGCCTTGGACTTGCATGTAGCTGCGATGACTTTTTATAATTATGAACTAATTATCCTGCTACTTGCATCACTTGCATCTGAGTGGGCACCACCAGGCCTGGTTTTGTTTGGTTTGGTTTTTTCAGACAGGGTTTCTCTGTGTGGCCTTGTCTGTCCTGGACTCACTTTATAGACCAGGCTGGCCTTGAACTCACAATGGTCTGTCTGCCTACGCCTCCCTGAGTGCTGGGATTGCAGGGGTGCGCCAACATGCCCACTCCATGCCGGCTTTTATATGAAACTGGGGATTAAACCCATATCATGCATGTAGGTAAGTATTCTATGAACTGCATCCCTAGACCTTTACATTTTATCTGTCCTGAGTTTTGGGTTGGTGTGTACGTCAGAAGACAACTTGCAGGTGCCGGTTCTCTCCTTCCACCTGGCGGGTCCAGCGATTGAACTCAGGTCGTCAGTCTTGGTGGCAAAGACCTTCACCAGCTGAATCATTTTGCTGGCACCCCAGCTTCAGTATGTAACCCTGGCAGGCCTGGCCTCGCTACATAGACCAGGCTGGCCTTAAAGTCACCACGATGATTCACCTGTCTTTGCCTCCCACTCGAGTGCTGGAATTAAAGGCAGGAGCCACCTGCTTTTTAATCGCTAATCTGTCTCTTGGCCATCCATGCTGGTTAGTGCCGGGCCAGGAATCTATTTCCCCACCCCATTGCTCCCTAGAGATAAGGGCCTGCTTCCTATCCCTATAGACCAGGGAGAGAGACAAGGAGGTGACCCTTATCTCGTCCAAATAGCGAATCCGCGTCCTGGGCAGTAAGGACTAACAGCTTAGGAAAGAAACGGAAAGTCTAGAGACGCTGGAGTTTGAGTCCCGCGGCGGGAGCTGGTACGGGTGGAACCTAAGGGCGCTCGGCTCTGTTGATTGGCCGCAGCTACAGAGCTGTCTTTCTGGGATTGGCCATTTTTTATGGGGGAGGCGGGGCCTCAAGCGCACTTTACCAATAAGGTGCAAAGAATCCGCCTCCGAAGGTGCACTTCCGGCGGCGTTCCCTGCTTCTCAGTCCGTCCCTGCCGCGGCAAGGTCCGCGGGGCCACAGAGTACCCGGACCACTTCTAGGTGGTACTCCACCGCCACGAGCGGCTATTGGTCGGCCGCGAGGGACGCTTCCGCTTGTCCAGGTGCTGGCCTCCCCGGCTGGAAGATGAAGATGGATCCCCGCTTCGCCGTCCGTGCCTGGCTCCTCTGCGGGCTGCTGCTGGCTGCGCTCGGCTCCGTCTGCGCCAGCGGCCCCCGCACTCTCGTGCTGCTGGACAACCTCAACGTGCGGGACACACACTCGCTGTTCTTCCGCAGCCTGAAGGGTGAGCGCCGCGGCGAGGGCATGGCTGGGGTTGGGGCGGGGACTGCGGCGGCAGGCACTCCTCTTCTGAAGGTGTGCCTCAACGTGTTATCTTCTTCTCCAGACCGAGGCTTTGAGCTCACCTTTAAGACCGCGGATGACCCCAGTCTGTCCCTCATTAAGTACGGGGAGTTTCTCTATGACAACCTCATCATCTTTTCCCCGTCGGTGGAAGGTAAGGGCGTCGCGTCGCTCCCAGGACTGGGATTTGAGGCTCGGGATTCCGTTGTCTTCTTGTGGTTCCAGCATGTTCTGGGTTTCGGGACGAGTTGTTCATCTTTCAAAAAGGTACCGCTAAGGAATAGAGTCAAATGTCATGTTGCTTAAGGAGAAAGGCGGTTTTCTCTAACAAAGGTCTTGATAAAGAAACCCTTGATTTGACTTGATTGTGTCCTAAGTAGGCTGGTCAGTGAGCTCTCAGGATCTACCTGTCTCTGCCTCCTGATGCTGACGCTTGGATTATAGTCACTGTTTGTCATTCCCAGTTTTTACTGGAGATTTGAACCCAGTGTTCCGTGGGCGCCCACTAAGCTATCTCACCAGCCCTCAGACTATAATGAAGTGAATTTCATTTACTTAACTACTTCCATCTTACAAGGCAGTCCGCTCCACCACTGGACATTTCTGTCAGGAAGTTGTACTGAACTGAAACCTGCCTCCCTCTTCCGCCTGTATTTGTGGGAGTTCTTAACTCGCTTAGGCCTGAGAGTCTGCTGTTCCCAGACCAAGAGCAGGTGATGGGAGAGTTTCATTTTTATCTTGCTGAGATGCATAGCTTGTCACATAGCTGTAGCCATCTCACATGTGTCTTCACATCTGACTGGGTATCTCCGGTTCCTTTGGCTATTTCTTACTTACTTATCATTCATTCATTCATTTTGTGTGTGTGGTGTGTGGCAAGCATGTATGCCTCACCATGTGTATGCCTATACCTTCAGATGCCAAGAGAGGGCAGCAGATCCCTTGGGACCAGAATTGCAGACAGTTGAGAGCTGGTGTGTGGGTGCTGGGAATTTAACCCAGATCCTTTGGAAGAGCAATCACTGAGCTCTCTCTCCAGCCCTGGCTGTTTCTCTTTAGCCTTGCTGTTTTGGCGAACATGCTAGCTAGTGTTTTTGTTTTGATCTCCTCGACTCAAGTTGTCCCTGTCTGGGTTAAGATGTCCCTGCCATTCCTTCCTTCAGTTGATGAGACATAGATGGCCTTTTAGTTCCCTGCCAGCTACTTCGTATTCTGTAGTTCACACAAGAGTGGGTTCTGCCAGTTGTCCAAAGTGTTTTCCCCTGGCTCCTGCTATTTCCCTTTAGTTCCCATGGGAAGGCCCCCTTCCCGCTGCCCCCCCTCTCCTACTTCTGGTTTAGGAGTGCTTTCACAGCCTCAGCTGTGCCACAGCTGTGTGCCTCAGCCATGTGCCACAGCTCCACCTTGGAACCAAGGAAGGCACGTTGTTGTTCTGCTCAGAATCCTCCAGTGGCTCCTACCAGCCCCAGCCTTCCTGTAACCAGCCACCTGGTCTCCCCTCCAGCCCTGTGGCTCGCCCTTTCTGGCAGACATCACACCGATGTTTACTCTGCTTGTGTGCCCTTCCTGTGCTGTTTGTTGCTCACCCTTCCATCTTCTACCTCCTTGCTAACCTTAGAACCAGGGCTCCCTTCCCTCACTGTCCTTTTCTTTGTTCCCATCCCATAAGAAATACTTAGCAAGTAAAAGGACTTATGTAGAACACCAGACTCACTGTGGAGAGAACTCCACAGCTCCACAGGCCCCATCTGGTGCTAGTTTGGAAGCTGGTGGCAGCAGTGGTTAGTATGTGAACTGATTGGAATAGGGTAGGATCTCAACCTTCAATTGCTGGAAACCAGCAAGCCCGCTGGGTGATGGTCAAAGCACTCAGTGGGTCTGCTGCGTATAATGTGACAAGGAAGCTGTAGTGTAGGCCAGTGAGCTTTACAGCTAAGTGGCAGTGCCATCTGTGGATTCTGCAGTGCCTTCTCGGTCTAGGTGGAGTGACACTGATAGAACACTGTAAGGTGACCCTAGGCGTGGTGCCAGTGACGGTGAAGGCTGCGGGTGTTCGAGGCATCTGAGCATTTGGACAGCATTACTCTGAAATGTGGGCGGAAGGCTAAGCATTTCTGAGTGAATAGATGTGGCTTGGAATATGTGCTGTTATGCCAACAAATGTGACTAGGATGTATTTGGTAATTGCACGTGAATGCTGAGGCTTGCTTTGAGCACACAGGAAGAGTGGAGACAGGAGCCCTCTCATCACTGTATCTGGGGGCTTTCTTTCAGATTTTGGAGGCAACATCAACGTAGAGACCATCAGTGCCTTCATAGATGGTGGCGGCAGTGTTTTGGTGGCTGCCAGCTCTGACATCGGTAAGTCTGCCTTAGGGTGTTCAACCAGGTCTCTATGGAGTTCAGAGAGCTTACATGTGGGAGCTGCCAAGGTGGCTTTGGCTAAGCAAGCCCTCGCCAGGGGATCCCTCCTGTACTGTCCTGTGATCAGAGACAGTGAGGACCCTGCTTGGTTCTCTCCATCGTTTGCTTTGTGGTGTTTTTTTGGTGGCTCTGTTCTGATGGGAGCAAGGAAGGCAGGGGAGATGGTGGGTGGGTTTTGTTTCGGATGCTGGTTTTGTAACTTCCGAAGTTGTACAGCAGTAGGGAGAGAATTGCACTCAGCAAAAACAGCGAACAGCGCAGGGCCTATTTTTCATCAGTGATAGACTTTCAGACATGTTCCTCTCAGTGGGTCTCTTGTTGGGGTGCTGAGGGGGTTAGGTGAGCTCACAGCCACCATTGGCTGTGGCTTTGCTACATTTGCTAAGGGAGTGTGGGCAGAACCAAGTTGTGTGTCTTTGTGCAAGGAGCAGGGGTCTGTCATTTAGTTCTACTAATTGTCTGCGCCCTGGAGGTGGTGCCCTGCCTGACGGAGGCGCTGGACCAGCACAGGGTGAGCTGCAAAGCCATGACCTGCATTTCCAGACCTCCTGACCAGGGCTCAGCCAGGCAATCTCTTGTGTCTGTGCAGGTGACCCTCTTCGGGAGCTGGGCAGTGAGTGTGGGATTGAATTTGATGAAGAGAAAACAGCTGTCATCGACCACCACAATTACGATGTCTCAGACCTTGGCCAGGTAATCAGGCTTGTTCCTTCAGATATCTGGAACTCACAGCAAAGCTCAGCTTTGCTTAGAGAGCGGGTGGAAGTCAGAAGGACTCCTTGGCCCGGGACCCTCTTATAGACCCTGCTTGCCCTGTCTTTCCTCTTTGTAGCATACACTCATTGTGGCTGACACTGAGAACCTGCTGAAGGCCCCAACCATCGTTGGGAAGTCATCTCCAAACCCCATTCTCTTCCGAGGAGTTGGGTGAGCGTGCAGGGGACTAGTGAGACTGGGAGGGACAAGGGTCACTTGCTGTTTGTGGACAGCAAGCCAAATTTAGGGTTGAGAATGTTCTTTCTCCTGGGTGATAACAATGAGTCTCAATAATATGAACAGGAGGAGCCCTGAGTGCTTGGCTCCTGAGAAAAGATCAGGATGTGGGGGTGCATGCCTTATTTAGGGGCCCAAAACAGGGCGATTGGGTCTGAAACAACCTGGCTAGTGAGACCGTATCTGAATGAATGGATGATGACCAAATGAGAAAGGGAAGAACTACCTTCTCTCTCAGAAGGAACAGAAGAGCTTTTTCCTCTGGGAGAGATGGCGTGGCACACCTCCTGCTCAGTGCTAGGCTGTTCTCCTCTTCCTTGCAGAATGGTGGCAGACCCTGACAATCCTTTAGTTTTGGACATCCTGACAGGCTCTTCAACCTCTTACTCCTTCTTCCCAGACAAGCCCATCACCCAGGTAAGAGCCTTTGCAGCCTCCATACTCCAGCTCCTGGGCCCAGTAGCAAGCACTTTTTACTTGAAAATCAGAGCAGAGCAGGAGAGGTGATGAGACTAGCGAAGAGGTTGTGGGACTGGGACAAGGGTGGAAATAGTGGGATCCTAGGTCCTCCCTCAGACAGGTGTGGGCACATAGCTATGTAGGAGTCCAGCCGTGTCCAGCCTGTTATCCACTTGCTGTGGTGGCTTTGCCTGTAGTCTGGTAATGCCCAGGTTCTGTTCCTAGTACCCGCACGCAGTGGGGAAGAACACGCTGCTGATCGCTGGGCTCCAAGCCAGAAACAACGCCCGGGTCATCTTCAGTGGCTCCCTGGATTTCTTCAGCGATGCCTTCTTTAACTCAGCAGTGCAGAAGGCCACACCTGGTGCCCAGAGGTAATGCCAGAGCTTGGAACATGAGGTCTGGGTACAGGGGGGGGGGGGTGAGAGCCTGTAGCCAGGTGTGTAAGTGGATGCCTTCAGGGCCAAAGGTTGTACATAGACTTTGTTGCAGTGCTGCTGGCATTGGTGCCCCACGTGTCACGGTGGTAGTGGCTGGTGTGGCACCCTCTCACCCGGCACTCCTGGAAGGTGCATGTGGCTTACTTGACAGGCATAAGGCCAGGTTCATTCTCCAGCATCAAAGTGGGTTGGGTCAATTGTACAGATGACCCATAGAAACACCACCTGCCACTTCATTGTTCAGTGTTTTTCCTTTAACCATGACCAGGAGGTGTGTGCAGCCTCCTTTCGGAACCTCACTTTAGTGTAAGCTGGCCTGGTAGACAGGAGTAGTCTGGCCCATCAGTACCAGCAGGAAGTAGGCTGCAATCCTGCCTCTCCTCTTCCAGGTATTCTCAGACAGGCAACTATGAGCTAGCTGTGGCTCTCTCCCGCTGGGTGTTCAAGGAGGAGGGCGTCCTCCGAGTGGGGCCTGTGTCCCATCACCGAGTGGGTGAGACAGCCCCACCCAACGCCTACACTGTCACTGACCTGGTGGTAAGAGCTCCTGGGGAGGGCAGGTCCTAAGGAGGGTAAATAGGTACTTGAGTCTGTCCGGTGTCAGCTCAGCAGTGGGAGGGCCTGCTCTGCTTAACTGGCGGGGAAGTCAGATTTATCAGAAAGTGACATTGGAGTTGGAGCTTTGGGTTGGACTTGGCCAGAGAAGAGGAGAAAGGGCAGCCTCCTCACTCGCAGTACTTGCAGTTAGGATGGAGCAGACTCTGCTAAGAACCTCAGGCCGGAGAAGGCAGAGATGTTCTGGTTGTCAGCCTTGCTGAGAAGTGGTCCATGCTCTGACTGCAGCATCAGGAGCTTCCACAGGCTCCTGGAGTCCCTGCAGTCTTGGGGTTAAGATTACGGGCAGTCCTGCTGAGGGTAGTGCCCCCCTGCAGCTGCTGCCACTCCTGGCTGACCCAGCCTCTCATCTCAGGAGTACAGCATCGTGATTGAGCAGCTCTCCAACGGCAAGTGGGTCCCCTTTGATGGAGATGACATTCAGCTGGAGTTCGTGCGCATTGACCCCTTCGTGAGGACCTTCTTAAAGAGGAAAGGTACGTGTGATTCTTGACCTGTGCCTGCCTCAGCACGCACTGTCCTCTGGGAAACCCTCCTGGTTTTGAGTTTTTGCTTCTTCCCCAGGCGGCAAGTACAGCGTCCAGTTCAAGCTGCCTGACGTGTACGGTGTATTCCAGTTTAAAGTGGACTACAACCGGCTGGGCTACACACACCTGTACTCATCCACCCAGGTAAGCCAGGGGTGGTCCCTGTTTCTGGCCAGGTGTCCTTGGGCATCCCAGGCACCAGAGCCTGCCACCCGTGTGCTGTTACAGGTGTCGGTGAGGCCCCTCCAGCACACACAGTATGAGCGCTTCATCCCCTCAGCCTACCCCTACTATGCCAGTGCCTTCTCCATGATGGCTGGGCTCTTCATCTTCAGCATCGTCTTCTTGCACATGAAGGAAAAGGAGAAGTCTGACTGAGCCGGAACCTGGGGCTCCATACAGCAGGGAGACAGGCAGATGATTTCACTGGAATGCATTGGCTGCATTTTGTTTTGTTTTTTAAAGGCCATGGGAAAATGGCATAGCCTTACCTCAGTGGGTGATGACTATGGGGTGGGGGCCAGGAACATTTTTTTTCTGTTTAACTTTTCCCACTTTGAATCACTCTGTGGCGTTTTTCACGTGTGCAGCCACCCTGTTTCTAAATAAAGAGAACCACTGCCCTCACACTTCACCTGGCCCCATCACACTTGAAGGCTGGGCTGCTGCTGTCTCGGGGTAACGTGCCAGGGACTGCTTGTCTTCCAGCTCTCAGAGGGAAGGGGGGTCACAGAGTGAAACTTGACTGGCAGTGCTGCACTAAGACTTGCTGCTGGGAAGACCCTTGAGGGACTGCAAAGATGATTTGGTTAAGAGCAATGATTCCTCTTGCAGAGGACCTGGGTTCAAGTCCCAGCACCCACATGGCAGCTCACAACCGTCTGTAACTCCAGTCGTAGGAGATCTGATGCCTTTATCTGGCCTCCCAGGTCACCAGCATTCACGTGGTGCATTGTATGTGCAGGCAAAACACCATATGCATAAAATAATAAAAATCCTGAGTTTATGTTGGCTTTAGGCCATTATCTGTGTTTGTTTTTTGAAACAGGGCTTCTCTGTGTGGCCCTGGCTGATCTGAAACTTGCTTGGCTAGCCTCAACTCTTGAGAGATCCACCTGCCACTGCTTCCTGAGTGCTGGGATTAAAGGTGAGTGCCATCACCCACTGCCCAGCCACACCTGTGTTCTTAACAATAACAAGTCAAGCTACGTGTGACCTCTTTCTCACTGTTAGGATATAAGAATCATTCTAAATGCCAGAAACTCGTTAAGCACATTATACTCCGTTCTACATGATAAATTTGCATTTAATATTTCCCAGCCCCTGTAAGGAATGCTGTTCAGCTAACATTGCCAGTTGTCAGTGCCTAGGGAGTGAGTTGCTGTGCTAGATTAATTCAGAAGCATCTGGGGAGCCCTGAGGACCATATTCCTGGGAACACACTGTCGACCAGCCCTGCAGACAGCCCTGCCATCAGAGGATGTTTTTCCTGCTGGTCCCTGAACACTGTCCTGCACATGCCAACCAGTGCTGTGGCCACCTCTGTCAGACAAAGCCCTTTCCCAGCATAAGGGACAGAGACCACAAACTGCCACTCATTGCCTTACCTTGGATCTTAGTGACAGGGAGTGCAGGTGTGACCCTCAGCCCCTTCTCTTCTACCAGCACAGCCTCCGCCCACTGAGGACAGACAAGGCCAGGCACTGTGAGAGCTCCCCGGGTGGGGAGAAGACGTTACCTTCTGTGTGTGCCGAGGGCTGCACCTCACACTGTCTTTAGCATGGACACGGTGTTCAGTGAGCATTTGTAAAGAGTCAGGCACTGAGGATACATCTAGCAATTGGTAAACTCACCTGGGAGCCATGCTGGCCTGCCACTTGATGATGAATTGATGGTGACAGCCAAATTTCAGTGTCAGTCTTGCTGCAGTACTTGTTTGTCCTTTTGCTTCAATGACAGCTGAGTCATTGCAACTACTTCATTAAATCATCTGGACTGATGTTTTAATTCTACTGGAGATTCAAATGGGATGGGCTCTGGGATTTGTTTGAACCCGCACAGCTAGTGCATGTCTACAGCCTGAATCGCTCTTTCCATTTGCTGAACCTGAGACTTCCTCTTTGGCTGACCAGCCCCTCCACCCCAGCTTGTGCCAACTCCCACCCACCCAAACCACGCCACCTGCTTTGGCCTTCACACACCATCATGACATCACGACACAGGTGCCCGTGAGTCTTTTAGTGACAGTGCAGCACATAGGCATCACGGGGTGGCCCTCCAGGAGCAGAGGAGGAGGGCTGCCTGGCAGAGTGCCTCACACTCCAGGTTCGCCAGAAACAGCATCTGCAGCTTCGTTTCCACACAGCTCTTCCCCGGCAGGCTGTTAGCCAGCAGAGTGGCCGCTGATTGCTGGAGGAGCCAGCCAATCATCTTGTCCAGCTTCAGATTCTTCAGGGCCAGCAGAGGCTCACCCCAGAGGCTTAAGTGCAGCACATTGGCGGCCACACGGGCAGATGGTCTCTGCAAAGCAATGGAAGGTGCCGTCAGAATGTCTGCATCGAGCACTTGGTCCGCACTGTGCCTTGGAGCAAGTGTCATTTCAGGCCTGCACCTGTTCGATTCTTCCTCCACCTTCTGTCTTCCCCGAGCTGCTCCCTAGCCAGGCCCAGGCCCTTGCCCAGGCCAGCTCTGCTGGGACACCTTTGTCACAGAGGGGACTCCCACACTGCTCTGTCTGGTCTCTGGCACTGGGGCAAGAGGCTTTGCACCTGGCGTAGTTGCTGAGCTAACTGAGCCGCTGCTGCAAGAAGACAGCTGTGGCCAGTGAGGAGTGTGCAAGCTGCAGACCAGCAGGCGAGGCTCTTCTGAAGCAGACCTGCCACTGCAGGCTTGGCTCAGAAGCACTGGCCCTGCGCTCTTCCTGGTTGAGAGTCTCCTTCCACATGCTGCATCTCCATTACACATTTCTCAAAAGCATCCTTTTCTTCCTAAGCCACTCTCTTTTAAACAAAATTAAAATATTTTGTTACATTATTTATTGGAGGGAGGGGGGCTGCAGGACTTCATTCTCTCCTTCCTGGGGATCAAACTCCCATTGTCAGACTTGGCAGCAAGCACCTTTATCCACTGAGCTGTCTTGCTGGCCCCATGTTTTTCATTGCTGGATATGTATGGAGTATGTGGGTGTGCATGCTAGGGCACACGTGTGACGGTCAGAGGATAACTTGGTGAATTCTAGGGACTGGACTCCGGCTGTCAGGTGAGCGGAGCACCTTTACCAGCTGAGCCATCTCATCAGCCCATCCTAGGCTGGTCCCTACACAACCAAAGCCAAGAGGCTGGGAGCCCTGGGTAGCATGGTGCTTGCCCAGCATGCAGAAGCCCCATGAGCAGAGTGAAAGAGACCCAAAGGAGGCACTGCTAGGACTCTGATTAAGGGCTTGCTGACCAGCCTCCAGTTTCTTCTCCAACCTAATCTGCAGTTGGCCTTGGCCTGTATATGGATGACAGAGGCTCTGTTAAACACTAGAGTGTGCTTACACTTTGCCTTGACTCAGACATGAACAGAGGCCCTCGTACACACATTCCAAAGCCTGGAAGCAGCCTCACCTTGCTGGCCTCGCGCTGGAGCAGTGACCTCACCAGCTGTCTTGCATCTGGAGGCACCGACTTGGGCATCTCAGGCAGCTGAGCTTCCTGGTAGCTGCAGCTCTCCAGGTGGGTGTGGCCATAGAAGGGATTGGTGAGCCCAAAGATTTCATAGGCAATGGCCCCCACAGCCCAGATGTCAGCCTTGCTGTAGTCGATTACTACCCTGGGGCCAGGTTGGGCTGTGGATACCTGCAAGAAACAAGTGTGAGGTCAGGCCCCAGCAGGCCTTCCATTCGTGTTCATGCCTGTCACCTGAGCTGGGATCAAATCTGAAACCAGAATTGAAATGCATCATGGATCAAGCCCAGAGGGATCTGCCATGCTGCGTGGGTGATGCTGGCAACCTCCCAGGGACCTCAGGTCAGGGTAGTGAAAGCAGGGCAGGGGGTTGGGAACCTTCATTTATTGGGAATACTAAGAAATACCCAGCAATGGCAGAACACACACAGCAGGACTCACCTCAGGGGCCCTCAGGGAGCCATTGCCACCAAGATCCACTTGCCAGCTAGTGAAAGGCAACTTCAGGCCAACATGCTCGTCAGCTAGGCAGTAGCCAAAATCGGAGATGACCAGCCAGGGACAGCTGTCTGCAGACAAGTGGCAGAGCTGAGTAGCAGGGTCTGCCCCTGCCCGTCCCTCCCAGGTCCCTTCAGAAGCCACCACCAAGACATGGATGTGTAGTGAGAATTCTGGAATTTTGGTTTCTTTAGAAAAAACAAAACAAAACAGAAATGTTGGGCATGGTGGTACATGCCTTTAATCCCAGCACTTAGGAGGTAGAGGCAGGCAGATATCTGAGTTCAAGGCCAGCTTGGTCTACAAATTGAGTTCCAGGACAGCCAGGGTTACACACAGAGAAACCCTGTCTCAAAACAAACAAACAAAAACCCCAAACTACAGAAACATAAGAACATGTTATAGGGGGCTGAAGAGATGGCTCAGAGGTTAAGAGCACGGGGTGTTCTACCAAAGGTCTTGATTCCTGCAACCAAATGGTGGCTCATAACCATCTATACTGGGATCTGATGTCCTCTTCTGGTCTGCAGGTGTACATGCAGATTCATCCACATAAAATAAATCTTTAAAGTGCTGTGGTTTTAATCCCAGGTGTGGGGTGTGGGGCTGCTTCCCAGCAGCTGACTAGGATTTGTCTCATGCTCTAGTGGGGCTGTGATTTTGTCAGCTGCAGATAGTTTCTGCAATTGCATGATGTTTGGAATTCTGGAGACTTTTCAGAGGGTATATAAATGCAAGAGCCCCCAAGGGGAAGGATGGTTGGTCAGGTGTGTTACGTGTTATACACTAAGAAGAAACAAGAAAAAAAAAAAAAAAAAAAGACATCCTGACAGTGAAAATCAAACTTTCCCCAAGGAACTAGATGCCCCTGGTCAGAAGGAAGTAGTCTAAGGATAACACTGATCCTAACTTTATTTAGGGATCGCTTTCCTTTTCTTTCTATCCTTGCTTCTCTCCTATCTAGTGTTGGGAGTCACCCAACATGGGGCACCACTTGTAGCTGGTCTTTGCTACTCTGTAGGTTCTTTTTTCCTCCTTTATCCCCTTCTTCATGTACAACTACTTAACAAACTGCAACCAACAACCCCCACTCCCTCTGGAAAGATCCCCAGAATTCTAAGCATCACAATCGCCAACTATCTGCAGCTGGCAAAAGCAGCCCTCAACCAGAACAGGTACGAGACAATCACAGGCAGCTGCTGCAAAGTAGCCCCACCGCCCCGCACCTGGGGTTAAAACGGCAGCACATTCTTATCATCGGTCTGTGTTTTTTAGAAACCAAAATTCCACAGTTTTCACTACATGGGTGAACTAGACTGTGTCCAGGAGCTCGGGCCACTAAGGCTGGGGTGGGAGTCTTTATGAGTGAGCATGCAGCAGGGTTGGCAACAAGTACATGGAAGTGCCACCAGGAAACAGGACCCAGGCAGGCTTGCAGATAAGAGGGGAGCGGGTAACTCCATGTGGAAAACGGTCTATTAACTAGATACGCCCGGAGACTGAAGGACCTCCCCCTTGACTAAACGATCTCCAAGGGTCTTTATCCTTTAGGATTCTTAGGTTTGAATTTGTAATGCCAATAATCTAATAAATGAACCTTGGGAGATAAAGGGGTTCACAGAGTTCCTTGAAAAAGCCAATTCACAGGGGCTGGAGAGATGGCTCAGAGGTTACAGAGCACTGGCTGCTCTTCCAGAGGTCCTGAGTTCAGTTCCCAACAACTGCATGATGGCTGGCTCACAACCATCTATAATGAAATCTGGTGACCCCTTTTGGTGTGCAGGTGTACATGCAGACAGAATACTGCAAATAAATAAATAAATAAACAAACAAACAAACAAACAAACAAATAAATAATGAATAAATAAATCTTAAAAAAAGAAAAAAGAAAAAAAAAACCAATTCACTTAGCTTCCTAGTTACACATTTAATTATTTTAAATTTAATTTTTTTTTTTGAGACAGGATTTCTCTGTGTAGCTTTGGCTATCCTGGAATTCACTTTGTAGACCAGGTTGGCCTTGATCTTACATAGACAGCGATCCACCTGCCCCTGCCTCTTAAGTGCTGGGATTGAAGGTGAGCACCACCATGCCTGGCTTGTTTAATTAAAAAAAAAAAAAAAAAAAAAAGGTTTAATTTTATTTGTATCTGTCAAGTGTGTGTAGGTGCCCACAGAGGCCAGAAGAGGGCATCAGATCTCTTGGAACTGGAGATAGAGGCTGTTGTGAGTTTCCAGGTGGGCTGTCCGGAAGAGAGGACAGTACTTAAGCACTGAGCCCTCTCTCCAGCCCTGTGACTCCTTTAGGAACATCCCCAGGCAGGTGGGGATGCTGCCAGTGATAGAGGGAGCCCCGTGTGTGCAGGTAGCTTTCACTGAGCTAGAGGCTACCTTCCTCTTACTGGTTTGAGAAGAACTACAGGACTGATGGTATTGATTTGCAGGTGGACCACGGAGGATCCCAGAAACTGAAAGAGAGCTGTGGCCTGTCTCCCCCATCAGATAGAGGGGAGTCCTCTTTTGTAGTGGAGCTAAAGAAGACAGTACAGGGTAGAGAATTCAAGGGGCTGAGGAAATAAATGGCTCAGTGTCAGAATGATGAGGACGTAAGTTCGGATCCCCAGCATCCATACAAAAATTATAAGCTCAGTACTTGGGGGCAGGGGTAGAAAGAGAGCCCAGGGGCTCACTGACCAGCTAGTCCAACTGAAACAGTGAGCTCTGTGGCAGGGAAAGACCCTGCCTGAAAACATAGAGGAGAGAGGAGGAAGAGGCCTGGCACAACCCCCGGCCCCACATGTGCGCTTCACACACGCACACACACCTTGCCCTTGGAGTGTCTATCCTTCCTCCCTGGAGCACTCTGGTGTGGCCAGCACCTACCTGAGTCCAATTCCACAAGAATGTTGTCGGACTTGAGGTCCCGATGGGCGATGCCCTGCTGAACCAGGTGGTCCACGCCCTCCAGTAACTGCAGGGTCATCACCGTAGCCAGTCGGGGACTGGGAGTGTGCTCCTGAAGGTACTGGCGCAGGGTACAGGGGTAGCTGGCAGGAGAGAACAGAGAGTCCGGGTACCACAGTTCCCACAGCCTCATTCACTGCCAGGACTGGGCCTCTCCTCTTTAGGAGCTTCTGCTCTCTTTACTCATCCTTTCACGTCACAATACCCTGACCCTGAATCTCAGGAGCTATGACAGTGCCGTAACCCAACTCTTCAGATCCAGGTGGCACAGGAGGTCGCCATAATGAGAGGAGCCACAAATGTGCCAGGAGCACTGAGAGGGAGGTATATCCTAGAAGATGGGTGTATCATTCTAACACAGCCCTCTCCTACATACAGCCCTGACCTCTGCATGCTCTGTTCCTTCCAGAAGCGCTGTGCTCCAAGGACAGGGACCAGTTCCCACGGGAAAGGAGAAGCTGCTTCATGATTCTTATACCCCCCTCTACCTCCACCCCCCCCCCATCTCCACTTACTTCTTCATAACGAGGAATAGTGTGCGACTGTGGCCCAGGCCTTCTGGGTAGAAGCATGGGGGCAGCACATCGGGGTAGTCAACCAGAGCCCCTGGCAGGAGGGGCACGGACGAAGTGAAGGCGCGGACCACCCGGATGATGTTGGGGTGTGGAGCAAGCTGCTTGAGACCATGTCTGAATCTTCTGTTCAGGGAAATGGAACAGCAGATGAGGCCCAGCATCAGGGACAAGTGCTGGGAAGGCAGCGCAGGCCACCATGATAGGAGTCCACTCACTCACGCAGTCACCAATACTCACTGCAGGGTCTGCCCTGTTCCAGCTACTGTGCTGTGTGGGGGAACCCCAATCAGGGTTACCCCCTCCCTATTCAGAGGCTCTAGTGTGCCCTTTGGCGTACCTGTCCATCCTCCATGGCAGAACACAGTGGCTAAGAGTGTGGAAGCTGCCACACTCGGTCCTTGGCCATGACTCTCATTCCCTCTGAGCTCAGGGCGGAGTGGGAAGAGGGACTAAGAGGGAAGTGCACTGCACGAGGTGGCTTACAGGCAGAGCACTGCAGTCTGCTCGGCAGGGTGAGCGCTCAGCGCTGCTGAGGCCCACCAGTCATTTAACTAGCAAGAGAGCAAGGCAGTGGCTGCAGCGCTGGAACTGTGCATACAGCAGTCACTGATCTGAGAGCTGACACAGGAGTAACTCTTTTAGCTCCACGAGGACTGGGACCCAGCCCAAAGTCACCTCCCTGATCACAGGGACTAGCATCCCTTTCCCAACTGAGACCCCAACACAGATGCAGTCCACCGTAGTGGTGCCCCCTGGGGGCCCTTGTTCACTCCTCCAGGGTCCCTCACGGCCACCGCCACACAGAGGCACAGTGGTTAACACTGGACACTGGCACTGGCCCTCAGTCAAAGCTGACTGGACCAAGAGTGGGCATCCCAGCGCAATGTGCCCAGGGGTTCAGCTGAGATCCCAATGGCTGGTGGGAAAAGAACAGGTAGGGAGGTCACTGAGGTGACACAAAGGCCTTCAGGGAAAGAAGAGCCACAGGGAGGAAACAGCAGTGCTGAGGTTGAGAGAAGAATGGAGGCTGAGCCAGGTTCAGGAGGATGCCTGCCCTGTCCTGGAGCCTTGTGAGCCTGTGCCATGTGTGTCCTTGCTCTGCCTCTTCTGTGCCGAGGACTGGGCCCCTGCACTATGCAGCATGGTTCTTGCCCGTGGGTCAGTGGTGACAGGGAGTCCAGACCTCAGCAGGAGGCTGGCAGCGCCCTGGCCAGTGTCACAGAAGCTCTGAGGCAGTGTGGGGAAACGGGCAGGGTGTGTTTGAACTAGGTCTGTGTGCAGTATATAGACAGAACAGCCTGAGCACGGCAGACAGTCAGAGCCCGAACTTCTGAGAAAGGTGGGGTGGCTTTCAGGAGTGGGGAGGGTGCCCGTGGGCAAGGAGGAGACGTGAGGTGGGAGAAGCAGCAAGGAGCTGAGCCCGAGGCTTCCGGGTGGAGGCTAAGTGGGCATGGCCCCTGAGTGCTCTAGAGGGAGTTTCTCTGGAGACCCAGCAGCTCTTCAGCTGGTACCCGTGGCACAGCACCAGGGGGAGAATGCACCACCAGTTGTCACTCTAAAGCCAGAGACACCTGGAAACACGGGACTGAAGGCCAGATAGCTACAGAAGTCATACAACTAGAAGGAGAGGCAGGGCTACTTCTGATGAGTCTGCATGCAGGCTTGCGGCCACTGTCCGCTGTAGTCCCGCCTGAAGAGACAATGCACGGATACCACTAGGTGGCGCCACATCCACACACTGCTTTGCAGGAATGAGGACCTTGTCTAGCTTTCTGAACCCGTCCTGTTTGGATGGTGTTCGCTCCTGCTCCCAAGTGAATCAGCCATCTGCATCATTAGCCGGCGTTTGAGGATCTTCAGTCTTTCCCAAGCTTGATTCATCCACAAACTGACAACCCTTCTAGGACATCATTTAATAACTGTGTGGCACATTAGACATGGTGCCGAGGGCTGGGGATACAAATGATGCATTTGTTCCCAAAGAACCCGCGACTGCTCTGTTGGGCAAAGGGGTGCTTACCTGTAAGTAACTGCGCCAAACTCTCCATCCAAGGCCACCCGGCTTGCTGGGACTAGCTCCTGTCTCATCTTGCTTAAGATGGCTTCAGTGGAGGAATCTGCCTAGAACAGACCCACAGTGCCTGCACGATTACACAGACCTTAGTGGAATGTCAAGTCCAAGCCCTCCTTGGGATCTGAACCAAGGCACCTGCGACCTACAGCTGTCTTTTACTGCAGGGGAGATAATGCCTCTGAATCGGCAAGTTCCTCCTGGAGCCTGGAGAAAGGGCTGCTTGGAGCAAGCCTTCTGTCCTCTAACTCTCTGGGAAGGAACAGAGGCCAAGACTTCAGGGCCCATTAGGCTTCCCTCCAGGAGAGGGTGACCACCAGCTCAAAACTGACCACAGGGAGGTGACAGTGAGCCCTGGATCAAGTTGTGGGTATGGAGGAGAACATGACTACTCCTGGCCAGGGAAGCCAGTCATAGGAGGAGGGGTGAGGGGAGAAATGAAGTAACTACCTGCACAGAAACCTGTGGTTTAGCCTGGGCACCATCAGAACTTGGGGGAAAACAGCCTCTCAAAGCCCACCCTTACTGACAGAATCCAAATCTGCCATGGGACCTAAGCCCCTGGTGAATGGTGGACATGTTAGAATTTGAGACTAACAGTGCCAGGTTCTCCCGTAACAGACTGGACGCTACAGGCCCTTCTTGTGGAAAGCCTGGGGATATCTCCCTCAGTTCCCGAAGACTGTCTTTTTGAGAAGTGTCTATTCAGAAGAGGAAAGGTCCATCCTTACCGAGATATTCCACATCATCTTGATGGCGAAGGGAAAGGCAGGGGCCTCTGGTGCCTGCTCCTCATCCACTCCCTTTGGGAGGACATCTGGGCCTTTTCTTAGAAGGCCAAGACACTTGGCCTTCTCCAGGTGCTGGGGCAAAGTAGGCAAGGTGGCTTCATACACAGCAGCACTGCAGCCCTTGCCAATGGACTGTCCAATCAGGTAATCCTCCAGACGAAAGCCCTGCCAGTACCGCCTGTCCAGTGGGTCAGCCACCAGCTTGTTTTTCTGTGTAAAAACTGCCTGTGAGGAAAAAGAATGCAGTGTGATCTGGGGGACTCGGGTTAGGCCGCTTCAAGCAAGCACAAGACCACAAGACGGGGAGAGGCAGACTGAGGCAGGGTCCTCACCCAGATGACTGCCTTGGCTTTAAGTGTGGGCTTGTCCTGGGGACAGGCCAGCCTGCCTCTGCCTCATTTCTGAGACATGTCCCTTCAATGCAATCAGAGATGGTCCAAGGGAGGTCCTGTGTCTGCAGCTCTAACCAACTGAAGATGAAAAACAGTCTTTAAAATTGCAACTGAAGGAGTTGGGGGTTTCGCTTAGTGGTAGAGCGCTTGCCTAGGAAGCACAGGCACTGGGTTTGGTCCTCAGCTCTGGGGAAAAAAAAAATGCAACTAAAGTCCAAAATGCTGGTGCATGCCTGTAATCCCAGCACTCAGGAGGACCATGAGTTTGAACCTGGGCCATATAGTGAGACCTTAGGGTTTTTGTTTGTTTTTGTTTTGAAACAGGATTTCTCTTTGAAGCCTTCCTTAGTTGTCCTGGAACTCACTCTGTAGACCAGGCTGGCCTTGAACACAGAGATTTGACTGCCTCTGCCTTACAAGTGCTGGAATTAAAGGTGTGTGCTACCGCAGCCTGGCCCTGAGACCTTGTTTTAAACAGACAAACCAAACCAAACAAGTAATTCATATGCACATCTCTTCTTGCCATTATTCTGTGAATAATCCAGTAAGCAGCGCCTCACATGACATTTGTTCAGGTTTGTGTAACTCCATGTTGGGCACTGTAAGTGATATAGAGATGATTGACAGCACACAGGAGGTGTACACAGGCCCTACAAAACTGCTGTCTTACAGAAGGGATGTGAACTGGCTGTGTGGATTTTGATATCTGAACGGGCCCTGGAACCCACTGTGGACACTAAGGGCCAACTGTGACTTGTGCTAGAGCTTTGCCAGGCTGGGCTGTGGAAGCCTACACTTGTTTGCTTCTGGGGTCCTGGGGCCTTACCCACACAAAGCAAGTGCTCTGTCACTAAGCTACCCCCCAGCTCTGCCTATCTGCACTTACCCTGTTCCCCAAGTCCCTTCATGAACTCTTCCCCAGGACCTGGCACACCTATTTATCCAGCTTAGGTCATCCTTCCTCCATAACCAGCCCTGAGAAAAGCCTGTCACATGCCTCCTGCAGTTCCTAAGGCACTGGGTCCCTAGAAGCTACTATACCTTGAACTGAAACCTCTCTTTAATTCAATGAAAATGGTGTTCCCTTGCCAACAGCTCACCAACCCCAGGGAGCAGGAGAGGGGTTGCAGACTGATCCCCGTCAACCAGGGTTTTGAGCACAAGATACTTTTTAACTTCTTATTCTGAAGTAATTACACTCACAGGAAGTTGCAAAAACAGCATAAAATGTCCCTTACATCCTTTCCCCAGCTTCCCCAATGGCACTAACCACGCAGTGGTCGCCCAGTATCACAGACACGGGTCCACAGTTAGCTACAGATCAACTCCACTGTCACTACATCTAAAAACCTTGCACCTGAGTATGCGCGTGCGCGTGTGCGTCTTCACACAATCTTCCTTCACGTGCTCACCACCCAGTCAGGATGCAGGGCTGCTCCATGGCCACAGAGCTCCTTGGTCCTCCCAACATCTGTACTGCCATTGTGCCTCCCGAGACGACCCATGCCAAGAGCGCGGAGATGAAATCGTGCAGTGCGTAGCTTCCCACATTAGGCCTGCTGCCCCGGGGTACACGTAGGCCCTGCCTGTGTCTACGGCTGGATGCTTGTTACTGCAGAGCTCTGAGTACTTCATTAAGGATACGCCATGGCTTGTGTTACTCTTCACTCATGAATAATGTTGCTACCATCATTTATATACAACACTAAGTAGATTTTATTTAAATTATGAAAAAAAATTTTTGAGACAAGGTCTTACTATATCCCTGGCTAGCTAGGAGCTTGCTATGTAGCCCAGGCTCTCCTCAAACCCAGAGATCTGCTTGCCTCTGCCTCTCACAAGTGTGTGGACTAGAGGTACGGGCCACCATGCCCAGCATTAATTGTATAATATATATCACACACACACATATATGTATAATATATATATATATAACATAAATCTGAAGCATTGTAAATGTACGGTTTTGTGGTGCTAAAAACAGTCATGTTGCTAAGCAACCACCCACTGCCCAGACACCAGTCATCTTGGAGAACTAAGACTATACAACCACACTCCATCCTTCCTCCTTTCTGTCTGGGAATGCGCAGAAGCCTGGCGCTTAGCACTGGAACCGCATACAGTCTTCAGCATTTATCCATGTGGAGCAGGTACCAGAATTTCCATCCTTTTCAAAGGCTGGTAATATCCGATATTGTGTGTATACCCCTTGTTTATCCACGCATGCACTGGTGCACACCCGGGTCACTCCTACCCGCTGGCTATTGTAAATAAGCTGCCTTGACCTTCAGTATGAAAGGTCTGTCCATTATGCCAAATATACAACAGAAGTGGAATCTAGACAGAACGAGTCTATTTTTAATCTTTGAGGGTTAGGGTTACCATTTCCATAGCAACTGCAGCATACAGGCTTCTGTGTGAACGTTTCTGTTTCCCCACAGATGCTGATGACTTCAGTGACAGGCCAGCGTGGTAAACACATATTTGATTCTGTTTTACTTTCCATTTTCGATGACCACCAGTAATGAATGAGAGAGCCTGTTTCTCTACCCTCACCAGCCTCTGCTACTGTCCTTACCTTTTAATCTTAGCACAAATACCTCATCTCATTTTAATGTGCACTTGTCAAATGGCAGTGGTGTTCAAAATGTTCACATACGCTCACCCATCACCTGTATCCATATCCTTTCCTATTTGTTGGTTTGCTTGCTTGCTTGCTTGCAGCAGGGTCTCCCTATGTAGCTATGTAAGACACAGGAATTGGATCCCAGCATTAGGAACAGGGAGTAGAGAAAATGCTTCCTCGGTCCTTCACCAATGTCTTGGAGCATGGTAGTACCTCATCCTCTGCCCCTCATCCCCACACTGTAAGACCAAGGGGTTGCCCTCTCTCAGCAAAAGGTTCCAACTCCAGGGAAAAGGCTGGCCTCCCTGAAGGAGGCCGAGTTCTGGCAGCGGACAACCTATAAAGAGGTGAACTGCAGAGCTGGCTCTTTGCTGGGCCTGCCTGCAGCTTTTAGATCTGCCAGCCCAGCATGAGCCAGGTCCTCAAAATAAGTCCCCGGCTCTAAATATACACATCTTGTTGGTTTTGTTTGTCTGGACGACCTTGAGGTCTCTGTGCTATTTTAAAAGTTTAAAAGTCCCAAGAACTCCCCTGTATCAGTGATAACACCACTCGAGTTAACTAAACCGTCCTCTCTGCAGTTTCTGCTCAGCCTCTCGCCTATTGTTTGGCTAAACTGGGGTGGCAGGCTGGCTCAGCAGAGGGCACAGGCTTCGGAAGGGTGAATTTTGGGCACTACCTTTATCAAAAGGTGTAATTTTGAGTAAGTCATCTCGCCTTTCTTGAGTACGGGTCCTCCATGAACTGGAATGACAGCTACTTAAGAGTGTTATGATTTTTAGACAATGTATACAAAGCACAGTGGCACATGTCAATAATCCCAGCACTTTGGGGATGGAGACAAGAAGATCCGAAGCTCAAGGCCAACATGGGCTTCATACACAAATCAGGACCCTGTCCCACCCTTACACACCCCAAAAGAAAAAAAAAATTGCTGAGAGCTACTTGCCACAGTGCAACAGGAACTAATGATTTTACACCATATACTTTGTAAAAGAAATGCAAAGTGCGGGCCTATCAGCCCGTCAGTAAAGGGAAATAGGTCAGTCTTAACTGATGATTTCCAAGAAATTTATAATCTGGTCAAAGAGAGACCTTAATCTTCGCCGTATCCCTTGACCTACCCCCTACACACAATCTTCGCCGTATCCCTTGACCTACTCCCTACACACACACACACACACACACACACACACACACACACACACACACACACACAC